CAGTAGCAGAAGTTATTATTTATTTATTTATTTTTTTTTTGGTGCTGGGGCCCAGCCATGCAGGTAAGTGTTCCACTTCTGAGCTACATCTCCACCCAGCCCAGGGGAAGTAATTTAAAACATTATTTTCATAGGAAATAAGCCATATGCTGGAGTATATGGAAACATTCAAAGAAATTACATTTTTCACGATAATAAAATGTTTTTTCTTTGAAATAATTTCAAATTTAAATAAGTTTCAGAAACAGTGTATAGAGCTCCCGTGTATGCTTCAGCCAGATTCTCCAATTGTTAATGTTGCTAAGGTATTTGAGAGCAAGTCACAAACATGATGCCCTTTACCCCTTAAAACTTCAGTGACTACTTCCTAATTGTAAGTACCCTCAATACATAACTACAGAACGGCCATCAAAACTAGGAAATTAACACTTATCCATTGTTATAACAAATAGAATCTTATGACAACAAAAACACTATCCCATACACATGGCTGTTTTATAGATATTATGTAAATAATAGAGGAAGACTTTAGGGAAAGATCAGGCTTATTAGGCACACTTTGTGTGTTTTTATTTATTTATTTTTGCAGTACTGGGGTTTGAACTCAGGGCTCATGTTTGCTAGGCAGGCACTCCACCACTTGAGTCACTCCACCACCCTTTTTTGGTTGGGTATTTTCAAAATAGGTTCTCACAAACTATTTCCAGGTTCAGGCTGGCTTTGAACCTTGATCCTCCTGATCTCTGCTTCCCAAGTAGCTAGGATTACAGGTGTGAACCATTGGTGCCTGGCACTTTGTGTTTTAATTTTTCTCTTTCATTACTAGCACTACAGAGAAAGTCTGGAAACCCAACTCTGGAAGTGCCAATCTGAGAGTAAAGAATGGGGCCACTTCCCAAAGATGAAACACATCCTGAAGATGTCACAGGCCCACTTGGAATGCCGCCAGATGGGACCTCTGCAATGTTTTCTCCTGCCCTTGAACAGCTGATGGGAGATGAAGGCCTTTGCTTTTGCTGCATGTCCTTCCTTATGCCTCCAACAGCAAATGGCATGGTCAGGGATGTGCCTGACTAGTTGGCCATCAAGTCCCTGAGTGGTATTTTTCCCCCACCTGATGGACACAATATGAGTATTCAGATGAAGGGCAGAAATGCAAATATGTCAGGATCATGGGCACTAAACAATTTTGAATATATTTTTGTCTCAAATGTGGGAGTCTGCTCATTTGCAGTTTGATTTGCCAGCCTATGGATTGTGAATTTGACTCTGGAAAATGTCTGCTATCCATTTAAGATCACTAATTAGAAAGCCAGCTTGGAAACATCACTGGACAGGTCAAAAAAATGTGAGTTCTTGCCTAAATTACCCATGTAATCTTGGCCTTGTGTTTAAGTTCTCTGTGTCTTATTTCTCTTATTTGCTAACTGAGGAAGGCAAGATTAGATCAATTCTGAGGTCACTGGATAAGACGTCTTGCAACATTATCATTTTATGACGATAGTAAAAGAGTCTTGTGGCCATGCAGCTGTGTGATGTTCCATCTTGCACCAAATGCCATGGCCCAAGTGGGAATTTGTACTAATTCCTACCCTGGGCCAGTTTATATTTTACACGTGTAAGTTCAGTTAAGTTTCTATGCAAGGGCGTAGGAAGGAATGAATGACCATGATGTTAGTGAGAAGCTTTGGGGGGGTCATGATTGTGGGCATTGGTGAGGATTTTGAGTAACGAAAGACAAACCAGAAAATGGAGCTGTATCAGAGACAGAGATAGGAGGTCTTGCATGATAATGGTGCGGAGATAGTAAGCTTACCTAAGGTGTAAAAATCTCAGGAGATGGGCACCAGTGGCTCACACCTGTAATCCTAGCTACTTGGGAGGTAGAAATCAGTAGGATTGTGGTTCGAAGCCAGCCTGGGTAAATATTTCATGAGACCCTATCTTGAAAAACCCTTTACATAAAAAAACAAATCAAAACAAACAAATAAACAAAAACTCAGGAGAGGAACTTAGAAATGTCACTGATATGGAATCTTTTTTTTCTCCTTTGGTGGTACTGGGGTTTGAACTCAGGGCAGGTGCTCTACCACTTGAACCATTTCACGAGCCCTTTTTGGTGTCGGGTATTTTTGAGATAGGGTCTCTCGAACTATTTGCCCAGGCTGGCTTCGAACCTCAGTCCTCCTGATCTCTGCCTCCTGAGTAGTATTATAGGTGTGAGCCACCAGCGCCTGGCATAGTTGAATTCTTTTGACAGGAGGGAATACATTGGGCACCCTTAAAAGCTAAGGGCCCAAAATCCTCTAATTTCTTTTCATGACTTCAGATTTTTAGATTCATGAGTAGATAAGAAAATAAAGTTGTCTTAACAGAAATTCTTGCTAGCCTTTTGCTTTTATTCCAGTTAAATGCATTTTCCCATCTCTCGAAGGGAGTCCTTTTTTACTCAGTCGTTTGATTTTTGGCTACAAAGTAAATTTGTGTCTCTACTTTCCATCCTCTGTGGTCATCAACTCATCAATTTACTGGTCTCACATTCTGTCTGAGTTGCTCAGTGTTTTACTTTCCTTTCATTTTTTTCATGCTAACCTTTTCTTCCCTCCACCACCCAGCCCCCTCCTTCTACTCTTCTTTCTTCTGATCTACCTTCAACTTCAGCCTCTCAAACCACTTGCCTCACCTAGCAGGACACTGCCTGAAGGTTTGTCCTCCAGCTCTCACCTGAGCATCACTCTAGCAGAACAGAGTCCCGTGAGGGACTTGAATGGGTTCTTGCCTGGGGCGGCTATTTACCAAAGGCAACATTGCTGTCACACTACTACCATTTTCCATCATCCCAGGCCTCCGCTACCTGGGCCTGTCAAGAGCGTCTTAAATGTCATTTCTAAACCTTCCCGAAATCCTGTTTGGTAGGTAGGATTATCCTCATCTTAATGGAACAATTTGCAGACAGGTTCAGTCAACTGCCTAAGGTCACATAGCAAGGAAACAGAGCCAGGATTTGCTTCCATTTGCGTCCGACTGCAAAGCTTCTTTGGCTTTGGTAAGGAGGAAAAATGCTGAACCCTAGCAGGGGTGGGAAGGTCTAACAAAGCCTGAAGAGCGGGTCGGGGGAGATGGACACAGAGCAGTTCATTTGGAACTGAGAAAAGGAAGAGAGAAGGGGCTAGTGGAGATGCTGGTCAGCCAATGCTCTGAGGACGCAGCCACTCCAAAGTCAGAGCTTCTCCAGCCCTTCTCACAGGAGGGAGAAATGCCTGCAGCCCAGGGGGAGAGAGGTAGCATTTCCATATCTCAACCCCTCAGGCCTGGGCAGACTGCCAACGTGAAGAGCCAGGAGGCACTGAGGCAGGGGAGATCACTATCATGAGGAAGGAAGCTCTGGCAGCTCCACCAGTCTGTTTGTGACAACTAGGCTGTGGGCCACGGAAGTCCCTTAAGGTCAAGGGAAATGTGATCCTGAAAGTGGGGGGCGGGGGTTGTAGTGGAAATACTCCCTTTTCCCTGCGCCTTCAGGTTAAACAGATCTGGCCAGAGCCAGGCCCAGGGCCCAGGTCCGAGGAATGTGGGCTGGAGAAGGAGGAGGGGTGATTAGAGGAGGAGAGAGAATGATTTTAGATCCTGGGCCACCTCATAAAAAATATCTTGACCAGTGAGGTAGTGACCTTTATTGCAGCCAACACAGGGCAACTGGCCTGCAGAGATCTCATGGTACACTTCTTTCCCAGTGAACCCTCACCTACTTCTCTTGTCCCTGAAATTGTCTTATTTGCCCAACTGGTGTGGTAGTGTTAATGGCGCTGGTTCAGCCTGTGATCAGAAGACTTTCAAATTTTTTTCCCGTGTGGAAGAATCCATGGCAAGACACGTGGGTGCAAAAGGGAGTTTATTAAAAGTTAGGGAAGGCAAATACAAGAAGAAACATGGTGACGCAGGTGCAGTCTGCCTGAAGAGAGTACTTTTAACCTAGGGGAAGGGAGGAACCAGGTGATTCCCATCCAATAATCCGTGAGTGGGAGCAGCATGGGCTGTTCCCGGTCAGTTGAGGGTGGGTCCTGAGCCAAAGAATGGTTAATTTGAGATGTAATATTTTTTTTATGAGTCTTGAACCTTCCCTAATTTCAGCCTGCCTCAGTAGTATTGTGTTTGGATTAAGGACATCTTTTTCCAAATCTAGATTCTGCTAATAACTAATTAGATGAAACTTTCTAAAATCTTAATTTCCTCATCCGTAAAGAGGTCGAGAAAGCTGGGCGCTGGTGGCTCACACCTGTAATCCTAGCTACTCAGGAGGCAGAGATCAGGAGGCTCGAGATTCAAAGCCAGCTCAGGCAAATAGCTCACAAGATCCTATCTCAAAACACTCATCACAAAAAAGGGCTGGTGGAGTGGCTCAAGATGAAGGCCCTGAGTTCAAACCCCAGCATGAAAAAAGAAAATGAGGTTGAGTAATGCCTATCAGGTCTGTTTTACCAGGATCACAGGAATCACCTTGGATGTACTGCCAGAGGCATAAAGTGCTATCTCAATATGATGTGGCATTTCTTTGCCTTCTTCTTTCCTTCCAGCCTCCTCTCCCCACAAAGGTCACTTTACCACAGTCAGAGCTGGGAGGGCTTCTAGTCTAGGAACAGAAACAGTGCTGTCTATAAATTCCACACCTCTTCTCCACTTACTTGCTCATGCCTTGCTGCCATGGTAAGATGGAGCAGGGGAAAGACATTCAAAGACACAGACTAGTAACCCATGCTCATCTGTTTGCTCAGACCCACTGTCAGGGATAAGTTTCTGGGAAAACGGCAACCAAAATATAAAAGACTATCCTTGAAGCTTAGCCTACAAAGCATTGGCCTTAGCTCCCCCAGCTTCTCTGAAGAGTCTAAAGCAGGAAGGACACCAAGAGATGAGTGAAGGAAAGGCTCTGAGGGGAGGAGGAGCTGGGCAGAGGCCTGGAGAGGGAGTTAAGGCTCAGCCAAAGAGTGAGGAACTCTGGAAGCCTAAAGGACTTGGTCCAAGTGCACAGGAACCAGCTGGAATTTCCCAGAGTCCTTTTTCTGAGGAGGATCACAGGCCACTATATAAGGTGCATTTAGATGCTTCTCTTGGTACCTGCAGTTTGGATACTTCCCTGAGGTGAGTTCACACATGGTCAGAGACACAGGCTGTGGGCTCCGGTGGCAGTTCTTATGGCCTTTCTTGCAGGCTATGTTGGGGGTCCGGCAGGTGGTGGCCACACTGGAGAAGGATTCATGCAGGAAGGTGTTGAGGTTTTTGCAGTGTTTTCTGTACTTGTTGATGTGGCCCATGGCTGAGTTACATGCTTGAGGTCTGGGCTGCACGTGCTGAATTTCAAACCACTGAGATGAGGTCATGTGGCTGGGTTTGGCACTGACTGGGTCCTCGGCCACCCACAGCCCCAGCAGCAGAAGCAGCAGCAGGGGGTAGAATCCTGCTGTGGCTGCTGCCATCTCTCTTAGGGGAGCACTCAGGTTGGAGGGCTGGAGCAGCTGGGGACAGAAGGCAGAAGTATTCAAATGGGAAACTGCTGTCCTGAACCTGCTTATTCTGGCTAATCACCCACCTCTGTACTCTACTGTCTCCTTCTTCCTCCACCCCATGTCACATCTCTTTCTCTCCCTGGGTGCCTACATCCCATCCCCTGACACTGTGGTTTCATTTCCCTGATTTTTCAACTCTATCTGCTGTCATTCTGTCCCTGATGCCTCTCACTCTTTGTTCTGTCTCCTCAGGTCCCAGCCCCTCTGTGTCCCCATGTCTATGTTTTATCTTCTTCAGCTCTCTTCAGCTCTGTGTTCCTTTTTTTTTTTTTCTATTTCATACTTCTATCCTCAGCATCCCTGTCTTTTCTTTTGGCAGTATTGGGATTTGAACTCAGGGCTTTATGCTTGCAAAGCAGGCATTCTATTGCTTGAGTCACAACGCCAGCCCCTTTTTGTCTAGTTATGGGGTCTCATAAACTTTTTTGCCCAAGCTGGCCTGAAACCATGATTCTCTTGATCTCAGCCTTCTACGAATGCCCCATGGCGGCCAGCTATTGGTTTAGATGGGGATCTCTCCAATTCCCTGCTGGGGCTAGTCTTGAACCATAGTCTTAGCTTCCCAAGTAGCTAGGATTACAGGCATGAGCCACCAGTGCCCGGCCACATCGCTGAGCTCTCTCCCTCACACTGCCTTCCCATGTGTGTCCTCATCTTCTCTAAAGGAGTGCCTCCTTTGTCCATCTTATCACTCACCAAGCAGGTGTATCTCATCTGATCAGAACCAGTCTTTCTTCCCCTCTCCTCCCACCTCACTTTACCATATTTTGTCACAAGCCTCACCTCCTTACTTAATCCTTGGGCTGTGGCTCCGGTTCAGGGGGCTGAGGATATATTCAACCTTGCTGGTCTGTCAGATCTCCAAGGGCCTCGACTCACTGCCTATCTCCTTCAAGCCCATCTGGGCTCTACTGCTTATTTGAGGGCCAGCTGGGGAACAGTCCCCATGTCAGGAAATGAGTCAAGTTCATACCTGTCACATACATATCCCAAATAAATGGATGCCTGTGGAGCTAGAGGGCCTGTCTAAATGTGTTCAGCAATGAGGAAGCTCATTCAAAGACTATACTGTATTTGGCCTCTGGCCACATGGTTTTAATGACTCTTTAATGAAGCACCTGACCCAAGTGTCACCCCAAATGAATTTCAGGGAGAACTGTCATCTATCTCCTCCTACATACCTTTGGCTCATGATTTGGGGAAAAGCCAGTCACTGTGGTGTTAAGGATTGTTTTTTCTCTGACCCAACGTACAGGTAGAATAGTTTAGTTTGTACGGCTTCTTGTCATCCAGGTATTATCTTTTGTAGGAGTTGGAGGAGACAAGGGTAGTGTGTGAGTCAACAGTCTTAATCCCAGCACCATCCCCAGTGGCTTGGCTTCCAAGATGATTCATTTCTCTGGGCTACTCCTGTTCCAGGTGCCGACCAAGCCACCTGGCTTTACCTGGAGAAGGCACCTAACACCTATCATTTACTCTTTCCTTCCCTATTTTATCAAAAGTTGTAGAACTTAAATTTCACCCAAATGTTTACAATTGAAATGTCATTGTCGGTGTGCTGCCTCATCCCTTCCTTCACCTGTGCGTCCTGGTCCATGTGGCTCTGGGGGCCCCTGTGAGCTTGAAGTGTGACACTTGAGAGAAACTTCGAGGCTCAGGCAGACAAGTACCGCTATCTATAGAGTGGAAGGCCTGGGAAATTGAGATATATGGTGGCTTTGTTTTCAGAATTCACACGTAAGTAGTAGGTGACCACAGTCTTACACAGTCGGCAAATGCTTACTGACACCCACCATGTGCCAATGTGTGTGGGGTATGTCTGTGAACAAAAAGGACACAAATCCAAACCTTTGTAGAGCTTACACGCACTGGGGAAAGATAGTCCAAATATATATACTTTGCTGAAGGGGATAATTGCCATGGAGAAACGTAAAATAGGACAGGTGTGGTGGGCAGTGATTTGTAAGTATGTCATTCTAGCAGGTGACTTTAGGAGAGACTTGAAGATGAGAGAGTGAACATGTGCTTGTCTAGAGGAAGAATGTTCCAAGGTAGAGAGAATGGCACTGTAAAGACCCTCAAGCACACAGGTGCTAGCAGGGCTGGCGGGACAGCAAGGTGAACAATATGGCTGGAGCAAGTAAGCGAGGGCTTCAGAGAGGGGCCAAGGTCAGAGTATGGGAAGCCTTAGAGACCACAAGAAGGCCTGTACTTGTGCTTGGAGCACAATGTGGGGCACTGCAAGGGTTCTAAGTGGAGGAAAAGGCCTGTTCAAGGGACTACCTGGCTGTTGTGTAGAGAGGTCACATGGTGACCTTGGCCATGAAGCTTGTGTTCTGGTGCAGGAGTCAGAATTTACAGTGAAGATGGTGGGCATTTGTTTTTAGGCTAGGGAGACATCATTTAAATAGAGAGAGGGCGCAGTTGTGGGTGAGGATGAAGGATTTCTGCAAGCAAAAGTAGTGCGGGAGATGGAAAACACCACTAGATGGCAAAAGAGAATCAAGGACAAGTCCACACGGGGCTCTGGCTCTGCCAGTTTGCCCTCAGTAAGGTCTTGGATGTGGGGACAGTCATTAACTTCTTTGTTAAGGGCCTGAATCTTTGCAGGCTGCACTTGGGGATGGAGATGCTCTACTTCTGTACAAATGCACATGCCTGGGGACAGAATCCATGTTTTAATGTGATTGTGGACCAAATGTGTGTCAGCTCCGGCCAGTACAGGCCTTGGAGTGGAGGAAGGGTAGAAGGCTGTGTGTGAATACACCTGAATTCCTAGCCCAGATCCTTTCCACTTCCCACTCTCCTGGAGAACCATGATTTGAACTGCCCTCTATTCCTGTCACTGGTTTGCTCTTCAACTCCACTATGCTGGGTTCTCCAGAAGGCTGCCTTAGTACTGTGTGCAATGGGAGGTTTGCATGTGAAAACTGAAGTAGAAGAGTTGAAATCTACCACCTGTATGATTCAGGCTGAAAGCTTTGCTTTCCCTCAGTTATTTGGATTTGATTTTGTTTGTTTTTTTGCCTAAACTATCCAGGTTGCAAAATCTACTGCATGCTGGTGGAGTGGCTCAAGTGGTAGAGTGCCTGCCTTGCAAGCATGAGGCCCTGAATTCCAACCCCAGTATTGCCAAAATCTGCTTAACTTTGCACTTGGTAGGATAATTGTCCTAGGCTGCATTTATGGGCAAAAGGAAACAATGGAGGAAGGGGACAATGTTAGGAATAATAAAAGGAATAAGGCATCAGGCCAAGGACTGGTCAGGGAGCCTTGCAGAGGGACAAGAGACATGTAGAAAGGGAGAGCAGCAGACAAAGTGGTTGAGCAGAAGATGGGAGGGAAGACAGGCACTCACAAGAGAGCCATCTCTACTCCAGCCTCATTCTCCCTCTACTGCCCTAGTCACTGCTGATGGCCTAGCCTTTCTCCAGGCTGCTGTGTGTGTGTGTGTGTGTGTGTGTGTGTGTGTGTGTGTGTGTGTTTAAGTTGGGGCGGTGTTGTGAAAACCCCAGCAGGGCCAGGTGGATCTTTGCCTGTGTTCCTCACAGGACAACAGCTGCTGCTTCCTCTAGTCTGGAGTGGAGGGAGCAAAGGAGGAGGGGAGAGAGGCCAGGCCTGGATTGGTGCCCACCCTTCAGAGCTGAGCTCTCTCTCTTCCGGAGTTCCACACAGCGTCTGGATATCAATGAAAAGCCCATGAGAGAGTTTCCCTGCAAGCAGGAGCAGATCCAAATTTTGTTATCCTAATTTTCTTGATCCTTGGGTAAATAATGGTAATGGGCTCATTTTTATATTTGGGGAAAGTGAAACACACAGCAAGTTGGGGTCAGATGTGAGACTTATTTTGGGTCTTTGAATTCCCATGACCTTTCCTGGAACAGCTGTGGGTTTGGAGGAGGCAGCCCTGAGTGAAGGTTGGAATCCTTGGCTCCCAGACCTTTAAATGAACCAGGACATAGAAGAGAGGGACCTGGTTTGGGTCTGAGGGGCTTCCCCAGGTTGCTTTTGTCAGCTTCCCACTCCCCATTTGTATACAGAATAAAATACAAATTCCTTAACCTGATACCAGGGGTTGCCACTATCTGGCAAACCTATCTTTCTAGTTTTGTCTTGGATTTTTCTCTCACTTAGTGCCTCAACCACAGCCAGACTTGTTTTCTTCCTTTTTCTCAAACACATTTTTCATAATCCTCTTTAACTCCACTTAACTCTTAGCTGCCACATGGGATCCATCCCATCCCAAGGCCCCAAGACCACCAACATCTTCCCCAGAAAAACATTCTCAACTCTCCAATCCAGAGAGATCCTTCTCATCTCTATATTCATATATCATTTACTGTCTTCAAGAAGTATACTTTTCCATCTTGAGTCACTGGTCATTTTTTCATATATACTTATTTCTTTCCTCTAAGTTGGACTGTCAGTCCCCAGAAGACCAGAGCCATCTGTTAACTGCACTTCTTTGCACCTCCCACAGGACATAGCAGAGTGTCCTGCTTGTGAGTGACCCTAACTGATTCATTCACCTGCTGGATTAGAAGGCATTTACTCTGTCCCTGAATGATTCCAGTCCCAAGTGGGCTCACCACCAACCCATAGAGCTGGTTAGCAGATTGAGGAACTGCCAGTGGAGTTCCCAGACTTTAGCCTTGGTGTTGAACTAGAAGGCTGAGATCTGAAGCAATCCTCTGAGTTCAAAGATGACTCAGGCACTGCCCAGGCCCCAGGTTGTTTGAGCAACCTGGGTTGGACAAGGCAAAAAGTAATGTCACTGAAATTATGGTGTGCCCAATCAGGGCAAAATCTTGGGGTTTCCTTCAATCACAGGGAGTCACTCTAGCCAGTTGATCTACAAATGTTTACCACTGGAGGGGAGGAAGAAAATGTGTAGATGATTATATGTAGAGGGTCCTCTTTACAAGAAAAGACAACTCCAAATTGTTGCAATGGTGAACTGTCAGTACTCCTTTTGTTAGTACAAGAACCAGCACCATTGCAATAAAAATCTGTTTAACAAATTATTTCCACAACCCAGATGTTTACCAACTCTTTTTTTCCAAAAATAATTTTTTTCTTTTCTGTTTTTTTGAAGCGAGCAGTACTGGGTTTTGAACTCAGGACGTCACACATGCTAGCTAGGCAGGCACCCTATGCTTAAATCACTCTTCCAGCCCATTTGCTGTGGTTATTTTTGAGGTAGGATTTTGCTTTTTCACTCAGGTTGGCCTGGATCATGATCTTTCTATTTTATGCTTCCTGCTGTTGCTGAGATGACAGACATGTACCACCATACCCAGCTTTTTCCTGTTGAGATGGGGTCTCACAAACTACTATCCTTTTGCTCCCCGCCTTTTTTTTTTTTTCTTGTGGTGGTGTGGTGATCAAATCCTTGTGTGTGCTAGGAAAGTGCTCTACCAGTGCACTTACCTCAGCCCACTTACCTACTCTTCTAAATATATAAGGTACAAGTAAGTCTGCTCTTGTTAGGAAATTCAATTATCTCATTAATTATTCCAGGGCCTCTCAATCTCAGTATCATTCACATCTTGGTCTGACAATCCTTTGCTGTGGGAGCTTTCTTGTGTAATGTAGGATGGTTAGCAATATACGTGGCCTCGTGCCAGTACCAACTCCCAGGTATGATAACCAAAAATTTGCCCAGACATAACCAAATTGCCCCTGATTGAGAACCAGTGAAGTAGGCATACAACCTTGATTGAGCAAGCTACCATCCCCTGTAGAATTTGGTTTCTTCATCTCTAGGGTAATTGCACGTTGGAGTCCCATGCAATGATACAAGAATCCCACAAACCCTAGGCTTCAGGAGCACATAAAATCATGACAATGCCAGGTGCCAGTGGCTTGCACCAGTAATCCTAGCTACTTGGGGGCTGAAATCGGGAGGATAGCGGTTTGAGACCAGCCCAGGCAAATAGTTCTCGAGACCCCCATAGCCAAAAATAAATAGAGAAAACTGGACTGGAGATGTGATTCAAGTGATACAGTGCCTGCTTTGCAAGCGCAAAGCCCTGAATTCAAACCCCAGTCTCACAAAACAAAACAAAACAAAACAAAAACCATGGCAATGTCATCATGAAGCAGTGCTTTAGGTCAGCACCTCTAGGATAGGATTTTAGAGACCAGACCACCAGGATTGCAGCTGGGAGCCTGAAGGTCCCTGACAATTTTTTTTCAAAAGTTATGTCCTTGCAATTGTCAGAAGCTTCATGGGGATGAATTCTAAGGCAGGAGTTGGAAAGGACTCTAGATTGCCAGAGCAGGGGTGGGGGTAAGAGTTGGGGTTGGGGTGGGGTGCTTGTTTAGGGAATAAACAAAGGTTTGTTATAGAACATAGGAGGAGACATGATTTGGTTATAAATTTATATATTGCTTAATGATTGTAAAACACTTTTATGCTTGCTGTCTCAATTTATTCTTGCAGCTTTATGAAGTAAGGAAGGTATTATCCTACAGAAGAAGAAACAGAACCTCAGTAGGTCATTAGTATTAAGTCTTGGACTCTTCCTCTACAGTAGGCTGTTCAGTTACTGTGACCGTGTGTGCACACGTGAGCGGTGGGTGGAGGAAGTGAAGAGTAGCAGTGGTGGGTGGGTGAGCAATGAAGGAAGAGAAGACCAAGAGGCATAAAAGCCCCTTTCTCTTCTGAGGTAGTTGCAACCTTGAGGGATTAGGGAAGAGGTATCATGTTGGGAGGCTGGGACCACAGCCTTTGTAGTTGGCTTCCTTAAAGCAAAGATTGAGTCAGCCAAGCTCAGGCACCACCCTGCATGGGCTCCCACTCAGTGTTGTGTTGTTGAGTAGCCTGAAAGATACAAATGAGCCACCTGTCCGTGTGGGCTTTAGCCTCGCTTGCTTGGATGTGCACAATTCCCTGAGGAGGTCCTTCAAACAGAGATTTCTGAAACATGTGCTCAGGACTGAGTCTTCCTATAAGCCAGCTCTGCGGAACTGATGGGATAGTGGAGGAGGCATAGATAGGAGCAAGATATGGAAGGCCTTATGTCCTATGAAATGAGGTCTGGATCACATCCTAAAAGAAATGAAGCTATTGAAGAGTATCAGACAAAAGAAGGGGCTACAATTTTACTCTGGCAGTTGTATTAAAGATATATTTGAGTTGAACCTTATTACGATTGGGGAGTGGGTGGTGTTAGGAGAGAGGAGAACTTGAGCAGAAGTAGGAATGGGAGACACAGGTTTGGGGAAAGTTATAGATAAGATTGTTAGGGCAGCATGACTGAGAATTCATGCTCATAACGAGTATTTACTATGTGCCAGGCACTGGGCAAAAGCTCTTAGTATACATCTTCATGAATCCTAATACAGCCATGACGTATAAACATCAAAGGATGTTCTATCTTTAGAACAGATAAAGCAATGGAAGAGTAAGGTGGTTTAGTAAACTTGGATTGGTGGTACACATCATATAAGCCACAGAGCCAGGATGCCACTCCTGGTCTGTTCTACTTGAAAGCATTAATCCTGACCCCCATGCAATCCTGCATGGTGGGTTAGGGAGATGGAGGAGTCTAGGATCACTCTCAGATTTTTTGCACAGGCTGAGGAAGCTGAGATAGAAAGTATAGGAGGGTGGATTCAGCTTTGGGCTCTAGTTTGTGCTGTTAGAAAGAGCAAATCTGGGGACTGTGAATGAAGGACTATAGAAAGAACACCAATGGGTCTAGGATGCTTACTGGTGAAGGTGAAAGGGCTTTCCTAAGAAGTCCCATGAGCTGAAGTTGTGTTGCACACATGTAATCCCAACATTTAGGGGACTGAGGCAGGAAGATTGCCAGTACAAGGTCAGCCCAGACTACACAGTGGGAGGGAGGCCCAAGATGTAGACAATACCTTGCAGGCAGACAAGCTAAGAGGCCTGTAGTAGTCAAGAACTGGGACTGAGAGGCTCTAGGGGCTAGATTTTTGGCTCTGATGTAGGGTCAGATATTTTATGAAAAAGTAAATTAGGAGCCTGATTCTCTTTCCCAGGATGACAAACTTCTCAAAGACCAACCGATAGCGAGAGTCTTATCAGACCAGGCCAGGTGATCCATATCCTCTTGAATCCAGATCATGCTGTCAGATCCAACCTGCCAAGTTCTAGGCTTCAGGATCAGCATGCATAGATTCCTAGGAGTGCTCTGGTCGACAGGCCCTGGGTCACGGGTGAGGGGTATTGGCATGATAGGAATAAAGTTGATGATTGGGGACCATAGGGACCACAAGGAGTCCTTGTGGAAGTCCTTGATCCTCACCCTGGCACTTTGCTGGTAGGCCTCTGTGGCCATGGGCTCCTGGGCTTCTGTGGGTGGGATGACACAGTAGAGGACCCTCTCAAGGTCAGGAATAAGAAGCACTTGTTCCTCAGAAACAAGACAGTGCCTTCTTCCCACCTTGCTGTAAGGGCAGAGCCAATGGACCAAAAAAACATCAAAGAAAGCCCAGGAACTTAGGAACTTTGGCAAGGGGTTGGAACCAAGTGTTCTGCAGACACCAGAGAGGAGGAGACCAGACAGTAATGTCTCTTTCCTCCCACCCATCCAACCACCTCAGCACAGGGGTTTCTTAAACTCAGGGGTCACCCTCCCTGCCACACAAACACACTGGTTTTTACCCAGAAACCTTTTTAGCCTCTAGGTTGTCCTTGGCCTTGGGAGAGAAGCATCCCTGCCTCCAGCTGCTTTTAATTCCTGTCCTTCCTCCAGAGCACTCAGAGAATCGCTGGTGCAGCCTGTTTCTTCTGTCTCCTCTGCATTTACCAGAAGGGATTTCAGGGGCCAGGGATAATCCAGAAGCACCTCTCACTCAAGAACCAGGCCTCTTATTCTGTGAGTATTGCAGTCCATGGACTGGGTGCTGAACCATGGCAAGAAGGAATGGCTACAGGTGGCTGATCAGCTGGGTGGCCTTGGGCAAATGCCTCCTCTCTGAATGATCTTGAGGTACTGGCCACTTAGAGGGTAAGGAAGGCACATAGGAAGGTTGGGGAATGCTGGAGGCTCTGGAAAGGGATGGAAAGCCACTTTAGGCCCATGCTACCTCCAACCACCTTAACTCTGACACAGGACGAATGGCACCAGCTGTGGCCTGGCTCCTTTTCCTCCAGCTTGTTCTAGAGCCAACTCTGGTCATGGACATGAAGCTGCAGCTCGCCATCAAGAACTTCCGCATCTTGCATGTTGACTATCCCAGGGTTAGGTACCCAAAGGGTTTCCATGGCTACTGTAATGGTCTTATGGCTTATGTGCGGGGCAGGATGCAAGATTGGTATTGCCCAAAGATCCATTATGTGGTACATGCCCCCTGGAAAGCCATCCACAAGTTTTGCAAGTATAGTGAGAGTTTCTGTGAGAATTACAATGAATACTGCACGCTCACCCAGGGCTCCTTACCTCTCACAGTCTGCACTCTAGACCCTAATCAGCCACCAACCAGCTGCCGCTACAAAACCACCCTAACTAACCAAAGGCTCTACCTGCTCTGCTCCCGCAAATATGACGCTGAACCAGTAGGAATCATTGGCCTCTATTAGGGAATTTAATTCCCAAAACACCCCCACCTCCTGCAGCCACTGTAGGCCAGCCTGTCGCCATTTCCCAAACTCTGACTCCTGCAACAAGTTTTTCTAGATGACTTCCAAGGCAGGCAGAGCCCCTCCTAAGAGACCATGTAGGTAGGAAAAAGTCCAGCACTTTGGTAACTATGCAAAGTCATACTGTCTTTTAGGTTCTTTCCAACTTGTTTACCACTCCTCATCACCCCCAGCCCCCTTTCTCCCTCTCCCAGCAACAGTAAAACCCACCCAAGAAGCTGGCTGTGTCCAGTTGGCACTGCCTGTCCATCTACTGGGCCAGATCTTGAGTCCTGGATGGAGGCCCAGGGACCCAGCTCCAGTCTCTCCCCGCTTCCTTTCATCTCAGTCTTCCCTGTTTCCCTTATTACTTCCTCCACCCTCACAGTCACTTAGGCTATTTTAGCCTGATTTCCCCACAACCCCTCAGTCACCAGCCTGCTCCTTTCTGTGAGATCACTGATTTTCTCTTCATATAACCTGCCCTTTTTTCCCTCTTCTCAAGGAGCCCAATGCTATCTTTTCTGAACTCCCAACCACTGTTAGTCACCTTGCTTTCCTTTTTCCCAACCTCTGCTTTCCAACCTCTCATCTTGGAATTTCAGGTTATCTTCTCTCATCCATTCCTCCCAGGTTCTTGCATCCATTTCCTTCCAGTAGCTCTCCCAAAATCATCCAGAGTCTAAGATCTGCTGCTCTGAAGGCAGTGGATGAGACAGGCAGGCCCAGCTCCAGTCAAGTAAAGTTTTAAAACCACATCTGAGTTAAAATGGAACACTGGAGGATACTGGGTGAAAGGTACCTGAGATCTCTTTGTACTACTTTTTTTTTTGCAACTTCTTGTGACTCTATAATAATTTCAAAATAAAAAGTTAAAAACACATCTGACTCAATTATCATTTTTTCTGCTGTTGGATTCCTGGTGAACCTCTGGCCATATTTCTGTGCTACTCTTAGCAATCAGAAAGGTTTTTCTGTTCTGTGGGTTCCATGATAGAGGTGGGGTGGGTAAAACCCAATTCTGGACTAGGTGTTGAAAATGGTTTCTCCCTCCAACTCTATTGCTTCTCCAAAAAACTCCAACAGATGAGAAAAGGGGAGATGGGATAGGGTCTAATCAGTGATATCTGTGTCACAGTATGTCAAATTGGGAATTGTTCTCACTTTTGGAAAGTAGAAAGGGCTGAGACCAGTGATATATGAACACAGTAAGCAAATTCTTTTACCTCCACATCTGGTTCATTTCTGCTTCCAAATATATTCCTCAGTCCTGTTCTTAGACTAGTTGCTGAGGAGGATATTAACAAGGCTGGTACACGTGAGGATTAGCAGGATAAAGGCATGTGGCTGAAACCATCGCTTCTCCAGCTTTCTCTCCACCCACCCCCACTCCCTACCAATGGGCAATCCATCTCTTGCCCTCATTAGACTGAGCTCATTAGCTGCTACCCACACAGATGATTATTGTTCTACAGGCTCCTTGGTGTTGAAGATGCAGGGCCAGGGTACGAACAGGCTAAGATGAGCCTCCTCTCTACTCTTTGGTCTCCTTATCATAGGTTCCTGCACCCTTGTAGCCACTCACATAGCTTGAGTTGTCAGTAGTCTCTTCCTATCCTTCAATGCCCTTGCCCTTGCCCTTGCCTCTCTCATCAAAGCGCTCCTTGTGGGTGGCCCTGTACTTGCTGGTGTAAGTCAGATGGTCTACTCCACCCACTGCTGTTGCTTTCTGAAGTCGGAGGATGGGTGGAGGGAAACCGCACTCTCACAGCCCTTCCCCAAAGATGGCCTTAGAGTCTATGAACAAGTGCTCAGAGCTCTTGCTCTGCCTCTGCAGGGTCAGATGCAGCTGGGGGCAGGAGCTGTGACGCAGAGGCAGTGGGAATCCAAGGTAGGATTGTGTGTGGTGTGTGGGGTGGGAGAGTGGACACCTCTGTTTTCAGAGAAGTTATACTGACCAGGCTGCTGCCAGAGGACTTCAGCCTGGACCCAATATGCAGAGTAGAAAGAGCTTTTTGTACAGAGAGAACAGTTAATGAAGAGGGAGAGTGAGAGGTAAGAGGTCTGAGGTTAAACCCCAAATAAGAGGAGGAGGAGGAGGACTAGGGTATTAATTCCTCAGTGCTAATGTCCCTCCAAAGCCACCAAGCCCCTAGATGTCTAGATCAGATACTGGAAACTTGGACATAAGTCTAAATCCTACTAGTAAAATGGCTGTGCTGTGACTGGGCATGGAGCTTGGTACCCCCAAATTGCTGTGCACCTTGGGCAAGTTGCTTCCCTGCTCTGGGCTGGTTTTCTTACCTCCTCTGGAATAGGTAAGAAAACTACATGGTCTCTAAAGTCTGTTCCAGTAGCGACAGTGCACAATAGCTTTCTGCCCTGTCTCCCATGTTACAGTGTTGGCAAGGTTTGGGACACTGGAGGGTGGAAGTGGAGACTGGAGTAGGAGGGACTTAGGAAGGCAGAGTCATGGGCCATGGAGGGATGGCTCCATCCTCACTTGCAGTGACACCAGTGGTGGCTGGGTCTTTGCCCTCCATGAGTTTGTAAGTGTCCTTCAGGGCTTCATCTGGGTTCTTCTCCTTAAACTGCTTGTGGCCCAATCCCTCCACTGCCTCTTGGCACTGTTGAAATGTGATAGTCCTGGTCAGTCAGAAATCCAGGAGCTTTGGAGGGCAAACTCACTGCCTCCAATGGCCAACCTTTCCCTCACTCAGATTTATCTCTCTGTCCCATCAATGTTCTATCAATGAGTATCTCTCTCTTTTTTTTTTTTTTGGCAGTGGTACTGGGATTTCAGGGCCTTTGTTCTTGCTAGGCAGGTATTCTACCACATGAGCCATGCCCCCAGCCCTTTTTGTGTCTGTTGGTTATTTACTTATTTATTTATTTTTGTGGTGCTGGGGATCTAACCCAGGGCCTTGTGCATGCCAAGTGAATGCTCAGCCATGGAGCCCCAGCCCAGCCATTGTGTTGGCTATTTTTGAGGTAGCATCTTTTTTTTGTTGTTGTTTACTTATTCATTGATTCATATGTACATACATTGTTTGGACCATTTCTCTCCCTGCCCCCCTGCCCCCTCCCTCTCTCTTCTACCCACCTTGCTTCCAGGCAGAACCTGTTCTGCCCTCTTCTCCAATTTTATTGAAGAGAAGACATAAGCAATAATAAGACACAGTGTTTTTGCTAGTTTGAGATAAGGATAGCTATATAGAGAGATACCTAGCATTGGTTCCATGCACAAGTGTATTACAACCCACATTGGTTCATCTCTACCAGACCTCTTCACTACTTCCTGGTCACCTTCCCATAGTGACCTCTGTCGTTTCAAGGTTACTGTATTAGCTCCTCTGCAGTGGGCATCAAACACTTTCAAGTTTTGGGTTTCCTACCTTTCCCTATTCCTCTTGTATGTATTCTCCCCTTAGCGTGTGACCCGTATCCAATAATATTACTGCATTTGTTTTAGGTCTAAAGTCCACATATGAGAAAGAACATATGATTTTTGGTCTTCTGAGCTTGGCTAACCTTGCTCAGGATGATGTTCTCCAGTTTCATCCATTTACTTGTAATGACAAAATTTCATTCTTCTTCATGGCTGAGTAGAACTCCATTGTGTATAAATACCACATTTTCTTAATCCGTTCATCAGTAGTGGGGCATCTTGGGAGATAGGATTTTGCTTTATGTCCAGGCTGGCCTGGACTGTGCTCTTCCTATTTGTGCTTCCTATGTAGCTAGGATGACAAGTGCATGCCACTGCACCCAGCTATTGGTTGAGATGGAGTCTCACTAGCTTTTGCCCCAGACTGGTCTGAACTTTGATCCTCCCAATCTCCATCTCCTAAGTAGCCTGGCTCAATTAATGTCTTGTGGACAGAGAATAACACAGAGCCAGGCACCTGCTAGGTGGTCCATGGGCCCACAATTGCCTTGCCACATAAACCCGTCTGTGGCCAACCTTGCCTGTGCTGCTCCCCACTCCCCACCTTTGGCTCCTTACTTCACTTTGCTGAACACTATGTCCACATCTGTGGAAGTGACTATTTTGTCACCCATGATGCCACGATCTTTACACAGTTTGGAGAGGTTCTTGTCGTTCATTTCATCGCGACTGCTTGATGATTCTCCAAAGACAGCAAATCAATGGAAAATTCTCTCTACTGATAATGTCATGGTCAGCTAGAGGTGGGGAGCCTTGAGGGTGAGGGAAGAGGGGGAGGACTGAGGAGTAAGGAGAATGGAGGTTATGATAAAATGAGCAACATGAACAATTCTCTTTTTCCCCTCTCACTTCATCCCACTTTCTGCAGCCACAGTTTGAGTTTCCCCTTCCCAACACTACTGTGTATCCTATGTATTGAATCAGCCCTCTTCCCCACTACATTTGTGTACCTAACAGTGCCCCAGATGGTGTCTGAGCCTTCCCAGCCTTTGTAGACAAGTGTGTGTAGAAATGTGAGAGCCAACCATTTGATCCAGCAATACCACTCTTGGGGATATACCCAAAAGACTGTTACTCCAGAGGCACCTGCACATCCATGTTTATTGTGGCACTATTCACAATAGCCAAGTTATGGAAACAGCCAAGATGCCCCACCACTGATGAATGGATTAAGAAAATGTGGTATCTATACACAATGGAATTTTATGCAGCCATGAAGAAGAACGAAATGTTATCATTCGCTGGTAAATGGATGGAATTGGAGAACATCATTCTGAGTGAGGTTAGCCTGGCTCAAAAAACCAAAAATCGTATGTTCTCCCTCATATGTGGACATTAGATCAAGGGCAAACACAACAAGGGGATTGAATTATGAGCACATGATAAAAGCGAGAGCACACAAGGGAGGGGTGAGGTTAGGTAAGACACCTAAAAAACTAGCTAGCATTTGTTGCCCTTAACGCAGAGAAACTAAAGCAGATACCTTAAAGCAACTGAGGCCAATAGGAAAAGGGGAACAGGTACTAGAGAAAAGGTTAGATCAAAAAGAATTAACCTAGAAGGTAACAGCCACGCACAGGAAATCAATGTGAGTCAATGCCCTGTATAGCTATCCTTATCTCAACCAGCAAAAACCCTTGTTCCTTCCTATTATTGCTTATACTCTCTCTACAACAAAATTAGAAATAAGGGCAAAATAGTTTCTGCTGGGTATTGAGGGGGGGAAGAGGGAGGGGGCAGAGTGGGTGGTAAGGGAGGGTTGGGGGCAGGGGGGAGAAATGAACCAAGCCTTGTATGCACATATGAATAATAAAAGAAAAATGAAAAAAAAAAAAAAAAAGAAATGTGAGAGCCAACTAGCTGGGGAGAAGGTGTTGGAAGGGGTGGAGAGTGAAGCTTCTGACTTTGCAGTGTTCATGTGACGTCACTTCTGGCTTTGGCTAGACCCTTGTCTTCAGGGAAGGGGCTTTGTGTCTCTCTACCTTACATGCTGGGTTGAACAAGTTGCCAACCTTCTAGCCTCATCAGATGATCAAATGCCTCATAATTTCAGCCCAGTTTACTAATCCTCTGGGTCCTGGTCAAATTGCTTTCTGCTCTGCCCAGAAAGAGCTAAGAACAGCCCAGGGAAGATGTCTTAGTCTGCTTGGGCTGCTACAATAGAGTAGCATAAATAACAAAAATTTGTTTCTCATGTTCCTCGAGTTTGGGAAGTCTAAGATCGAGGTCCTGGCAGATTCATTGTCTGATAAAGTCTGCTTTCTGATTCATAGCTGGGGCTTGACTGCATCCACATGGCGGGGCAAAGGGGCAAAAGAGCTTCTCTGTGTTTATTTACAAGAGCACTGATCCCATTTCATGAGGGCCTGACCCTCTGAAACTTAATCATGACTCCCCAAAGGCCCCACTTCCTAATACCACCACTTTGGGAGTTAGGATTTTAATATGTGAATTTGGGGCTGGGGGAAACAAACATTCCGACCACAGTAATTGGAATTACTGAAAACACTTTGCTTCAGTCTAACACTGTCCTCCTGTCTGGTCTTCTGGTTCAGGTATGGTGCCAGCATGGAGCATCCACTGGCTTTGGCAGATCAACCAGCAGGAACTTTAAAGGCTTCCAGTGTTGAACCCAATAGGGGAAAGAGCAGGGGTCTGGGAGTGTGACAGATTTGGGTGGGTCAAGGTAAAACGGGTCAGAGTGAGGGTGTTTCAGACTCTGATAATCATCCAGGTAAGTTTCTGCACAGCTCAAGAGTGCTCCTCAGGGGCTTCTCTCTGGGGTTTTGTCTCTGGTCAAAAGCCCTGTAAGACAGACAAACTTCAGGGATCCTCAAAGAACAACTAGATTGGTGACTTCTCTCTGTTTCCCACCTAATCACTCACCAATTCTTGGAAATGTTTTGTTTTTACTCTTATAATTCCATTCCTTTCTTTCCATTTGTATTACTTTCATGCTTATTCAAGTTCTTTCAACTTTCACCTTATGTATGGTCAACTACCCTGGCTTGTATAATGCTTTATTCCCACTCACCCCACAATCCATCTCTATCACCCTCTCCCCTTTGGATTAATGGTCACAAACTGCATTTTTGTAGCCATTACTCCTGCTCAAGAACATGGTACAGCTCAGGAATATTTTATGGTTCCTGATTGCCAAATCTTTTTGCCTAGCATTCAAGAACCTACACAACTTGGCCCCTAATCTATCTTATGAAGCATCACCTACCTCTCAGCCGAGGCCACAATGGCCTAATAGTTATACACTTGCGAGGCTACTTGGTAGTGGAAAGAACACTGGACAAGAAATACACTTGAATAATGAATCTGGGTGGGATTTGAATTCTAGGTATGTCATTTATAGCTGGGTGACTGTGGGCAAGTCATTTAGTATCTCTGAGCTTTCAGTTTCCTCAACTGTTTAGTAAGGACAATAATAGTTACCTTGTATCACTGGAGGACCACATATAGGAAGTGCCTTGCACACAGTAGCTACTTTTTGATTTTTCAAAGTATCTTGTGCATTTCTACCTCTAAACTTTCACCCTTGCCCTCTCTGCCTGGATAGAATGCTACTCAAATATTCCATGGCTGTATTCATCTGGGTGATTCGCCCTAGAAAGTAAGATCATGGCTCTTAGCCTCTGTGCTGCAGCTTCCTGAGGAAAGAGTTTCTGAAGGATGCAAGGGGCAACGGAATCTTCAGATACACAGAAGATGAATATTGCCTTGCATATATAGGTATTGCTACATACAGAGATATTGTGATTATCAGAATACTAAATTATTTGAAAGTACTGCTGAAATTACGGTTTGTATTTTTTCCATCATGGTATACTAGGACTATCATGGAGGAGTGGAAATCTCTGATCTTCCACTTGAGAAGAGTGGGAACCTATGGCTGCAGGACTTACTGATTTTATATATTCATAATTTTCTCTAACTTTTTCTGTTTCTACCTTTTCTTGATTACTGGATCACAAACTTCTAGTGGTCTGACCAAGCTCCATAACTTTTCAAGTTCCATCCATACAGTGGCTTGTATAGCAGGTGCTTAAAACTTGCTTCGTTGAAGGTATAGTTTGAGGCTGCTTCTGGCCCGGAGGAAGGAGGTTAGAGAGGTTGTTCTTGTTGGGACACTCAGGTGTCCCAACCTGGGCTTGGAGTTGTCCTGACAGAAAAGAACCCTACTCTAAGGCAGAAACAGCCTTACTTGGGCCTGCAGCAGGCTGAGGGAGACCCCTAGGCCTAGGAAGCAAACAGACCTCAGTGGAAATTTCCCATCCCTTGCCCTCCCCAAGCCCCTGAGTAGGCCCCTTATCAGGTTCCCCCTGAGTCATCCTGACCCAGAACAGATTTAGATGCTGGAACCTTCAGGTCTTTCCCTCCCCCACTCCAAGTAAGGCTACTTTAGACCAAAGAAACCTGCAGGCAAAAGTTCCCTAGCTTCTCTTTCTCCCCAGGTTCCACTAGGGCTGCTATTTCCCTTTTATCCTATGTCGCTGGGACTATGACCCCACAGCCTCTTTGTCCAGGAGAGTGCTAAATCCACATCCAGAGAGATGAGGGATGGGGGGCTAGGATGCCAGCTTCTGTACGTTTTGTAGGGAAGTTTTTATGATAGGCGTGGGAGAAAGGAAGAGGAAAACTTGGGTGTTCCAAACTGGGGGATATAGGGAATCTCTTAGTTTTGGGATTGCTGAAGGCTGGGTTTGAGCCTAATCAGTTCTCCTACCCTGGGTCCCCTCCTCCCTCTACACTCTTCCTTTCCAATAGACCTGCCAAGTGGGGATGAAAGGGGCATTGATGTTCCTTGGGTGGGAGGGGGGTTGGGGGTGGTGAGGGCGGTGGTTCCCAGGCAGGACGGGGAGGGTAATTTGGGGGTCTTGCGGGGGGCAGTCTGTGCTGGTGTTGCGGTTGGCAGCTCGAGTTCCATTAGCTATTGTTCCCTTCTGGCCTGGCGCCCAGCCCCCGAAATGGCAACTCAAGAACCCGGCAGAAGGGGGATGGGGTGGGGCCGATTCTGGGAGAGGGGTAGTTAGAAGGGGGGCAGGTGGGGAGAAATTCAGTCTGGCTTCCTTTTGCCTGAGACAATTGTGTATTAGCCACGTCAACTATCCCATTCTAGGGGCCTTCCCTTATGCATCTGGGTGTGTGCGTGTGAGGGATGACAAACCCACCCAGGCACCGACAGTCCCCGAGACATCATTGCTTGGGCATTGCCGATTCAACCGGTCTAAGCTGGTCTCGCCCTTCTTTTCAGGGCTGGACTGGGAGGGGTTAGCTCCGAAGCCACAGGGTCTCTTGGGTCTCAGCCCGGGACACCGCGTCCTCCCCAAGCTCCTACTCCACCCCTGCAAGCTTAACTCCGCCTCAGCGCCTGTTTACCCAGGAGTCACAGTCCTTGGGGTCCCCGGCCCCTCCCCGGCCCTCCTTGGGGCCTTGACCCGGGAGTCCCCGTCGGCCATCCTCTCCCCCCTCCTGCGATCGCCCTCTATTTATAGCGGCCCCCAGCATTCCCCGCCCCCCACCTTCGTTGTTATCCAACTTCTCACGGAGCAGCCGGAGAGCAGGCGTCGGGACGCAGCAGACAGAGGAGGTACCAAGGTCCTGCTGGCCCGGGAGTCGGAATTCCTGCGCCCTCGACGCCCCCAACCCTTGGGCACTGGTGCACCTGCCCCTCCCACCCGCGAGACCCCGGCCTCCTCCGTGGCGGCCCTCGCTGGCCCCTCTCCTTAACCTAGCTCTCTTTTTCCGGGCGGGCGGAGTTGAACTCGGGGTGTAGGCCCCTGGGCTTGGTCTCCCCTCTGCCGATCTCCACCACAGAGTGGTGTCTAGAGTGAGACAGGCAGGGCCAGGTCACGGTTTGAGGGTGGGCGTGGGGATCCCTCGCAGGGTTAAGGGGTCCCCACGTACACCCCACATCGTCCTGTTTGCGGGGATGGCGGTGGGGGGAGCCCGGAAGCATCAGCAGTTCGCTTGTCTTGGAGCCCCGCCACCCCCCGCACGGCCCGGGGCGGGGTGAAGGGCGGGCGCGTTTACTGGGGGTCTGGGCGGATCTGCAGGGAGCGGGCGGCCCGTGGGCGGGCTGGGCGGGCCGGGGGCGGGTCTGCGGGGAGCCCGAGCCGGGGCGGGCCCGACTCAAAGGCAAGTGAAGGTGGAAGCGACCGCGGCGGCCGCAGCAGGTAGGGGGAGGGGCAGGCGAGGGGCCGCGGGCCTGGGCGGCGGCGGGGCGGCCGGGGCGCGGGGCGATCCCGGTGGCCCGGGGGGACGGCTCCCGCCCGGGGCCCTCGAGGAGGGGGCGCCCGGCTCCTGCGCGCAAAGGCGGAGGCGCTGAGAGCTGCGGGCGTGTTTGGGATGTCCGCGGGATAAGTCCAGGGTCCGCGCCCGCCGTGAAGGGTGTCGGACACCACTGTGCCTACGGGCAGCGTAGGAACTCTGAGGACAGGTTCCGGGTGCTGGGGCCGGCCAGTCCCATAAGTCATGCCCATTCCTTCCCAGCTGGCGCTTGAGCTCGGGGCCCGTCGGGGAGGCTGGGAGATTATGGGACCGCCCTACCCCCTCCCCTTTGTCCACTCTCAGGACCTACACAGAGTCAGGGTGGAGCAGAGAAATGAAGGCACGAAGCTTTTTTTGTTTGCTTTTAAGTGGTCGAGAGGAACAGTCATACTCTACTGCCCTCATCTCAATCGAGAGCTGTCAAAAATCTTAGGGGTCCTCTAGCTTCCCCTTTTTAGTTTAAAGAAAGGAAATTAAGTAGTAACCAACTGAGCCAAGGTCACACTGGTAGTGGCAGATCCAGGGGTAGAATCCAGAGGTTCTGACAGTCACTCTCGTTCCTCCACATCAGCACTTCCTCCTTGCCACCCTCCACCCCTGGACTGATACCTGCTTTATGCTGCTGCGCAGGCCCCTCCAGCCTGTATTGATTGAAGCCTAGAGGGGACGTGTTCTCTGGACTCAGGCTAGAGACTGGGGAGAGTTAGTGACCTGGGGAGGGTTGATGACTGAGAGAGTCTAGGTTTTGGCTGAAACTTTCTGTCCCTAAAAGACCCAGGGTCTGTTTCCCATGTCATTCACCTTGTTGCTTTGTTTTCTCAGACCCCACAGCCAGGAGGAATAAGAACCCTGACCCCTAGTCCCTTTGCATCCAGCCAATAGGAACTCAGTAAGTGACCCCACCCCCAGGCTGTGGGCTCCTTCCTTTGCAGGTCTGCTCTGTCTCTGGCCCTCTAATGTGAATGCATACTCATTTATTTGCTATTGGAGGAGAGTCTTGAGTTTTGGAAGGCAGAGATTGGTTGGGTTGGATACCCGTGTCCCTCTGTTGTGTCCTGCCTCCCAGTTGGTCCTGCTTTGACCATTTTGAGTCCCTTTTCCTTTGGGCTTCTGACCTTGGGGCTTTGAAGGTTGGTGGTCATAGTCAATTGTGAATTGTCACTATGGTGTCCCTTGGTACCTTTAGAGTACTCAGTCACTGAGCCATGAGTTTCACCCTGTACCTAACTGGGAGTGTGGGGTGTCCCCTAAATATAGCCTAGGAAACTGGAGCCATACTGCTGCTCCACCCTGGTATTTCTGTCCAGGCTAGGGAAGGGAGGGGGTCCGGAGGTGTGGGTGTGGAGGGGCGGCAGTGGGGTTGGCAGTCTAAAGAGAAGCCAAGTCCTGATTCCTCTTCTGCAATCCCTCCTTCCAGTTGGCCTGGAAATGAGGAGGGAGGCAGGAAAGGCCCTCTGTGTGTCCTGGTATAGTCTTCAGCTCATGATCCCTCTGCACCTGCACAGTCCAGGCCTGAGAAGGGAGGAAGGTGTTTGGGGAGATGTGAGGGAAAAGAGGCAGCTTCCTAGTCTCATTGTTTTGTCACCCTGCCAGGTCACCATGGCAGAGCTGCAGGAGGTGCAGATCACCGAGGAGAAGCCACTGTTGCCAGGGCAGACACCTGAGGTGGCCAAGGTTACTGGAGACCCTCTGACTTCCCTGCCCAGGACCCAGACTTCTGGGCACCTCTCTTGCCTCCTGGCTTCCCAAGCCTATAGCTCTCATTCTAATGCACACCCTGCTTTCTATACCTCTATGCGTCTACCCAGTATACTGCAAATGGGAGCCCAGACCTTTGTCTTGTCACGACACTAACCTTCACCCTCTCCTGTCTCTTTTTGTCAATCTTTTTCTGTCTTTGGTCTCCATTTACCTCCCTGTTTCTGTCTTTCCATCTGTGACTTCGTGGTTGTGTGTATATGTCTGTGTGTGTGTGTGTGTGTGTGTGTGTGTGTGTGTGTCTCCAGGAGGCTGAGTTAGCTGCCCGAATCCTCCTGGACCAGAGACAGGTAACAGTGTGGGGACAGTCCCAGGGTGGAGGAGGGACTTCTCTTGCCTAGTATTGAGGGGCTTCTTCTGGGGTCTTTCTCCTTTCTTTACTTCCTTGCTCTTCCCCACTTCTCCCCACTCCTCCCTTTTGTCACAGTTCCTTAATGCTCTCCATCCTTTCCACCCTCAAACCTATTTCCATTGCCTTATTTTCCAAAATTCTTGGTGATCCTTTCTTTAATTCTTTGTTCTCTTTACACCTATTCCTATTTCCCTCACTTTTGTGTAGCTCCTTCTTGTCCTCTTTTCCTGACAGCCTAACTCCCCCCATGGTGACTTGTTTTCCTACAGACTCACTCTGTGGAGACACCTTATGGCTCTGTTACTTTCACTGTCTATGGCACTCCCAAACCCAAACGCCCAGCAATACTCACCTACCATGATGTGGGACTCAATTGTAAGACCTTCATTTTCTCCCTCTTTTTCTGGGAAGAGGTTGGGAGGAGGGTTGAAACCCAGAGTGAGGAGAGGGTGAGTGTGGGCAGGTGGGGGAACCCATGCATGTCTTCTGGTCTGACTGGCATCACAGTGAGATGGTGGGTTGTGATGTGGGTATGCCTTCACTGTTTGATTCCATTGTTGGGGCAATGTGGGTTCTCTTTAGACAAATCTTGCTTCCAGCCGCTGTTTCAATTTGGGGATATGCAGGAAATCATTCAGAACTTTGTGCGGGTTCATGTGGATGCCCCTGGAATGGAAGAAGGGGCTCCTGTGTCCCTTTGGGGTGAGAATCAGCTCTTATTCCTTCACCAGACAGTGAGGCACAGGGCAGGTGGGGAAGAGTGGACCAGGGAGAAGATAAGGAAGGCACCCTAAGGTTGGGGGGCGTAGGTACAGGTTGGTATCTTCCTTAACATGCTTCTCTTCCCCAGATACCAGTACCCTTCTTTGGACCAGCTTGCAGACATGATCCCTTGCATCCTGCAGTACTTAAAGTGAGAGGCCTGGAGTACCCCCAAACTAGAATTCTCTTTCCTTATTCGCCATGGCTCCTGGGCTAGTTTTGGTGTCTGACCTCGATTTGTCTTTGCTCTTCCATGCTTCCACTTTGACTGTTAAGAGGAAGGGCAGTGGGTTTGGACAGTTGTCTAGAGCCAGCAGAGTAGCCCTTTGGATGGGAAGGAAGGCACTATGTTTGCTTGGCCTCAGGCTGAGGAAGGGCTCCTCTGATCTGGAAGCTAAGGAGGAAGAAGTGGCAGTGACTTATCCCTGAGGAACCAGGTAGACTTGCTCTTGCCCTCCCACTCCCCACTCCTCCATGCACACACCTGGTATACTGGGAGCTGTGTATGAAAGACAGAGTGGGAGAAGGAAGAGAGAGCCACAAGAGGCTTCTCTGGTATGCACAGGGTTCTGTTCTTGGGTTGACTTTTCCTAAGCACAGTGGCTTTCAGCACTTGCCTCTGTTTACCCCTTCTCCCTGTTTACTTAAGTTGTGTCTACTTTCACTTTTTTTTTTTTTCTGGGGCTTGAACTCAGGGCCTTCACCTTGAGTCACTTCTCCAGCCCTATTTTTGTGAAGGGTTTTTTGAGATGGGGTCACGCAAACTATTTGCCTAGACTTGCTTTGAACTGCAGTCCTTCTGATCTCTGCCTCCTGAGTAGCTTTGATTACAGGTGTGAGCCACCAGTGCCTGGCTCTGTTTTCACATCTTTCACACTTCCTGTTCCACTAGTGGAACCACAAAGCAGAACAAGTTGAACTTGCTCCTGAAAGTTGAGTGGGCAAAGAGCTGTGCATGTAGGCTGGTAGATGTGTGTTTCTTTTTAAGACACTAGTTCTCCAGGGGGAAGATGGGGATAGATTTTTGGGATCTATACTGACTATCAGTGCCACCTTTAGCATCTTAGTACTTCCTTATTACATCCCCCAAACGAAGTTCCCTTGCTATCCTCCTTTGTGCCTGTGGCTTTGGGAAGGAAGATGAGAAGTTTGACAAGACTGGGCTAAGACAGGTTTTGGACATCAGAGCCCATGAGACTTACATTTCCCTTTTACAGTTTCTCCACAATAATTGGAGTTGGTGTTGGAGCTGGAGCCTACATCCTGTCACGATATGCTGTAAGAAGTAAAGACTTCTGATGGGGGAAAGGAGGGTCCTGACTGATTAGGAGAGTATTGCTTATTATAATTTGCTCAGGGGAGGAATTGAGGGTGAAGGTGGGGTGTCAGGTCATGTGGAAGCCAAGGATAAGGGGATAAGGCCAGGCTCTCTTTCTGATTGCCTTCCTTCTGCTGCCCTTTAGCTTACACACCCGGACACAGTGGAAGGTCTTGTTCTCATCAACATTGATCCCAATGCCAAGGGCTGGATGGACTGGGCAGCCCACAAGGTTTGGAAGGCCTGTGTTCTGAGATCTAGGGTGGGGGCTCTACAAGTGCAACCGAGTGAACTCTGAACTTTAGGGGGGGGTGAGCGGGGCAGGAAAGTGAAGCTGTGTTACTCCCCCTATGGAGCATGTTCCCTCCATAACATCTTGGCTCACCTGCCCTTTCCTCATAGCTAACGGGCCTCACCTCTTCCATTCCGGAGATGATCCTTGGACATCTTTTCAGCCAGGTAAGTGGTTGTGGAAGATGGAAGGGGTAGGGGGACCAAATGGTACTGGAATGGTTGGGGTGATTTCCTCAGGTGGGGCAGGGTCTAGGGAGGGAAGAAGACTTGACTCTTCTTATCTAGTCATCCTTGGCTTCTCTTTCCAACCCTATTTTTTCTCTTTCTTCTGTTCTTCAGGAAGAGCTGTCCAGAAATTCTGAGTTGATACAAAAGTATAGAAATATCGTTATGCATGCACCCAACCTGGAGAACATTGAACTGTACTGGAACAGCTACAACAAGTGGGTGGGCTGTGTGTGCATGTGAGAGGGAGGGAGAAGCAGCTACTGAGGTGGCACAGGGGAGAGGGAGGTTTGGGAAGCAGACAGAAGGGCAGGGTTCATTGTGCAGCCAGGGCAGCTTCAGGACCACCCATGGAAGTGATTGTGAGACACTGTCCCTTTCTCTTGTTTATCTTCCTTGGACTTCTGGAGTCCCCAGAGTAAGATGATCTCTTGTTCTTGTGTCCTTCCTCTCCCATAGCTGCCCTCTGACCAGGCATCTGGGGCACAAATGATTATAGGCTCTGTGCTTGGGATCTGCCTACCACCTGCCACCTGCTCCTTCTCTTTCCACTTTTAATCACCTATACATATACCTACATATATACACACACACACACATATACATATATATATTTTTGGCATCACTGGGGTTTGAACTCAGGACCTCAGGCTTACTAGGCAGATGCTCTTACTACTTGAGCCACTCCACCAGCCCTTTTAGTGATGGGTTTTTTCAAGATAGAATTTCACAAAGTATTTGCCCAGGGCTGGCTTTGAACACTAATCATCCTGATCTTTGCCTCCTGAGTAGTTAGGATTATAGGCATGAGCCGAGCCACCAGTACCCGGCTTAATCACCAATATTTGACTGTAAAGAAGGAAGATAGCTTCCTTATGGGGATAGCAGGTAGCTTATATCTGGATGGATAGCATAACAGCATTCCCTGCATAAACTTTCTACTCTCTGAACCCCTTTTTAGCCGTCGAGACCTGAACTTTGAGCGCGGTGGTGAGATCACCCTCAAGTAAGACTTTAAGAGATGAGGCTTTGTCCCTCTCCCTGGATCTTCCCGCCATGCTTGTTTAGGAGAGGCTTTGCTGGGGAATTTCTCTGTCACCTCTCACCCCATCCTATGTGGCAAGTCACATCCCTTTTGGCCTTCCCCTTCCAGTCCTTTTGGTGGGGTCAGCAGGGGAGAGAAGGCTGGTTCCCGTTTGAGGACATGGTGAGGGAGTGACAGGGATCACTGCCTTCTCCCCAACATATGCCTCTAGGTGCCCTGTGATGCTGGTGGTAGGAGACCAAGCACCCCATGAAGATGCAGTGGTCAGTAAAGAATTTTGGGGTGATGAGGGAGTGTTGGGGTCCGAGGATGATGGTCAGAGTGTATCTTGCCAAGGGAAAGCTCTATTTAAGACAGGGAGAGCAATTGAGCATTCAGAATTTGATTCCTGTTAAGGAGGAATTGTGGGTGGGGTGGGGAGGGCTGACAGGGAAAGAGACTGAAATTAGAGAGCATGGCCTCATTCATTCACCTCCTGCTTATTCCAGGTGGAATGTAACTCAAAACTGGACCCCACCCAGACCTCGTTTCTCAAGGTCAGCAGTCTTACTCTCTGCTCAGTCTGACTCTTGGCCCCCTGTACAGAGCCATTTTTTTTTCTTAAATTCAGCTTCTAAGCCTTCAGGGTTCTGCATGGGAATGAGTGGAGTAAATTAAAAAAACAAAACAAAACAGGGTGGGGGGCGGGGAATGGAATGAGGGACCTGGGAAGGAGAGGTCCTTTGCTATCTCCCGTCCTGGGTCATTTGATTTATGTGTGTATCATTTTTTTCTTGGTGGCTGTCCTGGGCAGATGGCTGACTCTGGAGGTCAGCCCCAGCTGACTCAAGTGAGTACCCTGCTGGCCACGGGATGGGGAAATGGGATAGGATATTAGTGGCTCTGAACTCTGGCCTTTGCCACACATTCAATTCCTGCACTGCTGTGGCCGTGGGCTCTCTCTCAGCTGGCCTCTAACCTCATCTCCTTATAATACACCCACAGCCAGGCAAGTTGACTGAGGCCTTCAAGTACTTCCTGCAAGGCATGGGCTATAGTGAGTATGAGGACAGAGGCTACCAGGACAAGGGAGTGGGATGGGCACTGAGGTGGGGGGTGGGGAACCATTTTAGGTTAATTCCTGCACTCACCACTTTCTGCCAAGTCAAGCTCCTCAGCTCCCTGGCCCCAGTCATAAATCTGGTCTCCACCCAGACGCCCACTCTGTTACCAGCCTCCCCTCTCCATTCTCTGACTGCTTGCTTATCCTTATGTCTCCACAGTGGCCTCATCCTGCATGACTCGCCTGTCCCGGTCTCGCACAGCCTCTCTGACCAGTGCAGCATCTGTCGATGGCAACCGGTCCCGCTCTCGCACCCTGTCCCAGAGCAGCGAGTCTGGGACTCTTCCTTCAGGGCCCCCAGGGCACACCATGGAGGTCTCTTGCTGAATGACCCTTCGTGTCCTGGTGTGGGACCCAGTCCTTACCTCCTGCAGCACTAACCTGGGAGGTGTGGAAGGGCATTGGGCCAGAGTAAGCAAGGAAAATGGGCAGATCATGCAGGGAGATGATCTTGATCTTTGATTGCTACCCTAACCTTGACCTTTAACCTGTGACTCCCCCAGCTCCTGGGAGAGATGTCCTAATATCTCTTAGGGACCCAGACCCCTACATTATCCCCTCTCCCATTTTGGTGTGAAGGAGAAGGTGTGTGTTCTCTCTGATCCAGGTGTCAGTAGATGAGGGATAAGAGGCTGTATGGTTGTCATGGTGCCTCTGTCAGACTCTCCATACTTATCCCAGATTTGCAAGGGCAGGGAATTTGGGGCTGGGGCTTCATTCACTAAAGCTGGTGTGGCTTTTCACGAACTCTTCAGCCCAGAAGGAATGGGCCTAATGAACATGTGTCAGGGGAGACTTGCTGGTGAGTCAGTGGTCCTCAGGATGTTTCTGAAACATCCAGTGTGTAAAAAGGAAGGTGGAATGGGAGATGGTTGGAATGAATGAGTATAGTGGAAGGATTGGAGCTGGGGCCATGTGACTGCACTAACTTTGGTAGCTGTCAGTGTGCTGCGACAAGAGTGGGATGAGGGAGGGAGCCAAGCTGGGGTCAGGCTGCTTGGGGCTTGGCATAAGGGTGGGAAGGGCTACCTTGGGGCTCTGACCACACCATATTATGTGTAGACCCTGTGGCCTCCTGTCTCCCACTTCTGTGACAATAAACTGTAGAGGAATCTGAGCACCAGATTAATTTTGGTCTGAGTATGCTTGTGTCATACCCTTTTCCTGTCCTCAACTTGCCCAGCACTCACATTTTTTTCTTAAAGTGACATAAACTGGGAGACAGCTTATGTAGCATAAGTATTTCACAAAATAGGACCACTGAAACTGGCTCCATTCCAGTATTGTTCTTCATATCATATGTTTTTAAGCTTGGGAGAGGAGAGTTAATTAGATCTAAGAAGACTTCTTTATCAGTTATGGTTCCTTGGAAAAGACCATGGAATTTCAGAGGAGATGCCACCAACATCATGGTCATTGAGAAAGAAGCTGACTGGAATTCTACCCAAAGATGTCTTGTGACTCACCTTCCTGCAGGATGCTGTGTTTTAGATGGCTGGTTCAATACAGCTAGTAGACCAGGACCATGAAGTCACTATAGGGCTTGGGCTGCTCCTAGTTCATCCCATTTGGAAGACTCAGGAGGGTCATGGCCAAGAGGGGGGTTTCCTCTTGGGAATTCCTCTTCTCCCATGGAATCCACGGGATTTGGGAGCTAGTTAGACTAAATGCTTCTAAGAAGTATTTTAACAAAAATGAAGAACAATCATTCAGGGGAATTCAGGTATCTTGTGGCTGTTGCAGGTGGGTTCTTGGGTCCTTGAGGTACAAGTAGTAAAAGCGAGGACACACTTTGTAGCATTATTGGGTGGGATAGTACATGGCTATTACAAGGTGTTTTACAGAAACCCCAGTTATATCCTTTCTTCCATTCCAGTGAGCTGTGGACTGATCCACTGGGCTTTGAGTGCTGGTACACTGACATGGCATGACAGGGAAGTGAGAAACAGGATATGTATGTGTATGTGTTGGGGATGGAACCCAGGGCTTCATGTGTGCGAGGCAAGTGCTCCATCACTGAGCCACACCCCCAGCTCTGAGTCTATTTTAAATGTGGTAGGTCAGGGTCAAGCAGGACAGAGGCTTTGGGTGATCAGGTGAGCAGGGTTATGGAGCTGGCTATTGGATGGGTGTTGGGTAACCACACACAGGGTGGTGAAAAGAAGGGGCATGGCTGGAATCATTGGGGTCCTTTAGCTCACAGGCAAAACATGAGGAAAAGGCAAAGACTCACAGCCAGCATCAGCCTTTACTAACAACAGAGGCTGCTGTGCTCTGTGGAAGGGGAGGCAGGTCGTTTCTGCTTATCTGCTGACACAGGTAACACTATTTGCAGGGTAATCATCAGAAGTGGGAGCGATTACATTGTGTGTACTTGCGTGTGCTGTGTATATCTGCATGTGTGAAATGGGTGGTAACTGCGTACTCTTTCCTATAGATGTCTCTGCACAAGAAATCTGTGTTAAGTAGAAGGAAATGTTTGGCTGGAGTTAGGGAGGGGGTGTTTGCTGTCCTCGACCGACCTACTTTGTTGGTCCTAGACAATCTGGTCTCACCCATAGAGACACAGCGCCCCCCTGTGGTTGCCATGGTTCTTAATTACTTTACCCAGTTCTCTGGGTTCCTTGCTAAGTTTCCATGATCTACAGCCCCACTGTTCTTTGTAGTTCTGCCTTCTAGCTATACAGGGAGGTCCTCATTACACTGCCTGCTGCTCTGTCCATTCTCTCAGAGCTCAGAGGCTCAGAGGGGTGGGGTATGACTTGGGTTCAGTGACAAACACTGAACCCAAGCTCCTTCCCAAGGAATGTGAGTGCTTTCCAAACGTTAAGGACAGATGCTAAGATAGCTAAGAGAACATTCAGTGGCAATGAGGCTTAAACTAGATGAAATAGAGCAAAAGAGACTTATGGTTTCAGCTTGAATATTCTGGCTCTCTTTAGACTTTCACTGTGTCTCTACAGGTACAGTCATACACTGCATAATGACCTTTTGGTCAACTCAGGGACCACATATGTGATGGTGGTTCTATAAGATTCTATCACTTAGTGACATTATGGCTTTTTTATTTTGTGTAAGTACACTCTATGATGTTTGCACAGTGACAGAACCTATTCTCCTCTTAAGTGGTGTGTGCCTATACCAACAGAACAGTGGCACTGCAGTAGAAGGGATAGAAATTAAACACTGGAGAGTAGTTTAACTGTTAGGGAAAATGTCAGGGTGGGAGGCACAGCTCCTCCAGAGAGGCTTTGGGACTAACTGAAAAGTAAGTCAGTTCTGACTAGGGCCAGGGGTGTGCCCAGGGCGATGTAATTTATTTGTGCTCTCTCTCTTTACTAACACAAGAATTTTCCCCAAATTAGATAAATACACAGTAAAAGCAGGATGCATTCTGTATCTGACAGTCAACAAATCTAAAGACAGTAACTCAGAACATAATTAAAAGAAAAAAAAATTAATCTACCACCAGCATTTTGTAAGCATCCCTGCAAACTGGTGCTGTGTGAGTAATCCTTCCTGTACTCCTTTTCTTCACTTTGATAGTGGCAGTGGCACCCCTCAGGCCAGTGGGAAGTATGAAGGTATCTGGGTGGTTGGCACAATCACTCATACCAACCCATCCAAATGCTGGCAGCTGTTCTTTGCACTTATACTGGAGCCAGGAACAAGGGACTATTTCCTGCAGTGAAAGAGGCTCCCAAACTGTCCTTCAGGGAGGGGCCAAGTGGCACCAGTTGTCTCAGCAGAGTTAGTCCAGAGCTTGTTTTTTGTTCCCGGGTATTCTTACTTCGTGTGTTGATGTCTGACTGACCTCCCATCCTGCTCCAGCATATTTTCTAAAATGTGCTTTCTCTCGGTTGCAATTCCCCATCTCTTCACTAATTGCCATCCTACAACTCTACTACCTAAACCAAACCCTCAGCTTCAAAGCACAGGAGAGGTAGAATTCCAAAGAGTTAAACAGCAATGTTTTGGTGGCAGGAAAGGAAAGTTGGCTCTGTGAAGGAGGGCAGTTGGAGGTCTATGTATATCAAAAAATACATGTATGGGAGTGGAGAATGAGGGGTGAGGAAGGGTGACAGGGATTGAGGAGACATGAAAATTGTCCCCCATAAATTCTCTCCCAATTATTTGACTAGTGTCCTCTCGTCCTTTTTCCCACCTACATATCTTCCCTCTTATTTTTCATTTTCTTCTTTTTTGGGGGGAGATTGGGTACTGGGGTTTGAACTCAGGGCCTCATACTTGCTAGGCAGGTGTTCTACCACTTAGGCCATGCCCCCTTTTTGCTTTGGTTATTTTTGAGATAGTAGTGTCATGCTTTATGCCTGGGCTGGCCTGACCTCAGTCCTCCTATTTACACTTCCTCAAAGCTGGGATGACATGGGCACACTAGTCTGCCCAGCCATTGGTTGAGATGAGATTCTCAAAAACTTTTTGGCAGGGCTGGCCTTGAACCTTGACCTTTCGATCATCACCTCCCAAGTAGCTAGTGTGTGCCACCATGCCTGGCTATTTTTATTCTTCCACTCTCATCATTCCAGTTATCTTCTGTGAAAACCTATCTCTTAAGGGTGATTGAGTCAGGATTTATTCCTGCATCTGCCATCCAGTGGCCAGGCCCAGGCCTCTCAGCTCTCCTCTACCTTATGGTCTTCTGCCTGTTCTTATTCCTTCCTTGTTTCACTTGTCCCTCTCTGGATACTTGCTGGGAATTCATGCCTTTTGAAAATGATCAAGCTAGAGGTGTGGCTCTCCAATATGAAGGAAACCCTGACTTCAAACTCTAGTACCACCAAAACAAAATACAAAACCAACAAATAAAACCAAGAAAATGGCTGGGAGCCAGTGGCTTGCGCCTGAATCCTAGCTTCTCAGGAGGCAGAGATCAGGAGGATCACGGTTTGAAGCCACCTGGGGCAAATAGTTCATGAGATCATACCTTGAAAAAACCCAACAACACAAAAAAAGGGCTGGCAGAGTGGCTCAAGAGGTAAGAGTACATGTCTAGCAAGAGTGAAGACCTGAGTTCAAACCCTAGTGCTGAAAAAGAAAAAAAACAAAAAACCAGGAAAATGGTCAAAGATTATCTCCTCTTCATGATTTCAATATTCTCCCCTGGTGTTCTCTGTGTGGACCCACTGTAGCTTTATTCCAGCTCTTGACATAATATGGTTCAAACTAAAGCTGGTTCTGGTCCTGGTTGGTATGAACTTTGGGAGAAGGAAAGAAAGTCTGGAGAGGAAAGCAAGCCTTGACGGCTGAGTGGAGAGAAAGCTAAAGGAGAATACAAGGCTTCCCAGATGGAAGAAGGCAGAAAACGTACATGACTCATCAGAGCTTGAAATATCCCAACCTCCGCCTCATTTACCTCAAATGCTGATAGCATCAGTGACCCAGAAACACAAGGAAGAGCCACACAGGCTAGCATACTTCTCATGTCTCCTTTCTACAGCCATACAAGTCCTCTGTACTAGAAAGAGCTCTCTAGCTTCCATACAATTGTGTTCCCTTCAGTTCATCCACGCCAAAGTCCTGGCAAGATCACTTAAGTTGAATGTAGCAAGACTAGATGGTCCATGGGACACCTGTTTACCCCTCTATATCTCTGTTATGCTCTGTGCTCCATGAGGCTGGCCTATCTGCAATGCACCAGCAGCCTCTGTCTGTCCTCTGGCTTCTTTTTGGTTTGCTGAGTAAGACACTGGCTGCAGATCAGAGAGCAGAGAAAAGTAAGGTTGCCCCCTGGCCCCTCTGGGTGGGTTCCTTGCAGGTTGGGTGCATCCCTCTACCAGGGCCAAGTTCTTATTGGTTTCTGTACTTTCTGGTAGTTTCTTCTCTTCAGGCTAGGCAACAGCATTGTTATTACTCAGCCCCAGGGTGTTGCATCAACGGTTCAAACTTTGTCCAAAAGCTGCCCACACCTGACTAAATAGACCCTTTATTACACTTGCCTCAATTATCCAGTGCACTACCAGTTGCTTTGTTCTGGGATCTTACCAATAGGGTGGGAGATGGAAGGAGAGGATCTACCCACTGAGCTTTTCATAGAATCATAGAAATGTGAGCTTGAAATCCAGCTAGCCAAGTGATCAAGCTATTGAACTTTTCTGAATGCCCGTTTCCATAGACTTCTCACAGTGGTAAGCTCTAACTGTTGGGTGTATCTGAAAACGGTAGTATAGTGCATGGCCAGTTAGAAACTGTATTTTTACTACCACACACTAGGCTCTGAGTACACTGAAATACACTGCTCTCAGTGTAGTACCTGTTCCTGCATTTAATACTAAAAACACAATAGAATGGTGTGCAAGGGAAATTCTTTCCTGTATTAGACACATCTATCTATCTATCTATCTATCTATCTATCATCTTCTTACTGTCTACAATGTAGATAGATGCCTGAAGCTTGCCTTCTCACTGATTCCCGGGTGTGAAAACTGGGTTTGTATTTTTTTGTGAGGAGGGGAAAAAGATGGAAAGGAGACAAAGACTGAGACAAGAGTGAACTCGGGAGATCTTGACCATGTTAAGGCTATTTGGGTTCCACACAGAAAATCTTAGAAGGGGCAACTGACGAGAGTGAGGGAACTCCCTAGGCATACCTCCTCTTTCCCTATTTCTTCATTAAGTCTGAGACAGTCCTCCAGCTTATAGATGGGCGACAGCTCTCCTATTCCTTCTCAATTCCAGATTACCTGCTTTTGTGTTTTCCCTGAGCACTTTTTAGTGGGGAAGCAACACATCGTAGGGGTTACTGAAACTGAAAGACAATTGGTACTGCAGGCAGTAGGAAAACCATTAAACAGTGGCAGAGCTAAATAATCACCTCAAGTATTTATTTGCAGCCTTTTTCCCTCTCCAAACATGCTGCTTTTTAATCCTTCAGCCTGAGACAGCTGGAAGGAGAGAGAGACTCAAAGAACAGCAATGTCCCCTAGGCCACATAGTTTTGTGAAATATAGAAACTCAGTTGAATGGAAACAGGCTCCATTTAGCCTGATGTTCTTGGGTCTGCCAGGCACATTGTGGGTGGCTGACAGGAGGTACTGGAAGTAGGGTGAGGTTTTAGTATAGGAAAAAAAAGATATTGATGCCCCTGATTTCTGTTTTGAAACCTCTTTCCGTCTAAATGCTGGAAGCATTGGCTTATTTTCTCAGTTTCTGTAGGTACAGGAGGGAGGGGATTACTGAAATTTCAGCAGTGCTTTTATGTCCATGGGCATGACCTGCACCAGCATAGCTGAGATCCCAATTCCAGAAGAAAACACTGCATCCAGCATTCACCCTTCCCATTCTGCCACTTCCCCTACAGGATGGCCTTTAGGCAACAGGGAGAAAGGAAGTACAGTGTGGCTGAAGGGAAAAGGGAGCATGACATTTTATTACACAGAGCAGCATAAATGGTAACAGTCAAATCTGGAGTGATGGCATTGATACCAGTTCTTCGCTAAATAGGCACTGAGCCTAAACATCCTTTTCTCAGTCCAGAGTGAGAAATGGGATCTCATATGGGTAAAGGCTGGGGTCCAATCCAGGGGATTACCCCTCTAGTGAATGTCCTTTAATGTCAGTGAAAAAATGCCTGAGGGCCAAAGCCGTAGCCATTTGGGAGGTGTCTCCTGGGGGCAGGGAGGTATCCTCCTAGATAGGTCCATCAGAACAGTCATCTCAGGCCCATAAGGCAACAACAGCCATGAGGGTGAAACCAGCAGCCATGCAGCCCCACTTGGCCAGCGGGGCCCCAGGACCAGCCAGTTCCCGAGGCAGAATTTCTAGGAAGGTGACATACAGGAATGTGCCAGCTGCCACACCCTCTAATACAGCCTGGGCTAAGCCCTGCCCCCCTTCAGAGTCCCCTGTAGCCACAGTCAGCCCTAGGGCTAGGCCCAAGGGGGACATGAGAGCTAATGATAGTATGGAGGATGCAGCCCACTGTGATCCAGTGCCTAACTTCACCAGCCGCAGTCCTACACCAAACACCACAAGCCCCTTATGAGCCAGGACAGCAACACAGAGTTGTATGGTAGCTGCTACTGTTGTCTGTAGCCCCACAGCTAGACCTTCAAACACTGAGTGAAAGGAGAGTGACAGCAAGAGGATGAGGGCTCGAAAGGGGCCCCGTGAGGGTGAGGATGAGGGTAGAGGTGGATGACTGTGGAATCCAAAGGAATGGGACCCACCCCATTCTTCCTCCTGAACTGTTGATCCTCCAGCAGCCCCAGGACAGCACTGCAATGCCAGCGACTCCAAAAGGAAGACCAAGAAAAAGCCCAGGGAGATGATGAGCTCTCCATAGGGGTACTCCACCTAGGAACACAAAGAGGGGCTGTGAGCCAGGAAGGGAAGGGAAGACAGTGCACTGGATGGGCATAGGATTGGGAGGTTGAAGAGAATGGGAAAATGGGTAATAGAACATAAAAAAAGGGTATGGGGGATTAAGCCAGGAATAGACATGCAAGAGCGAGAGTGCCAGAGGAGCTAAGGGACACAGGTTCCATAGGGCTAGGAAACCACGTGAAGCATGTCAGAGAGTCCAGGGAAAGACAGACTAAAGCAAGAGGTTTTCGTAGGTCCCCATAATCAAAAGGATTGGGCTGGCTCCTCTCTTTCTCTGTACTATCTGAGCTGGAAGCAGAAGGGACTCCTGTTACTGTTCACATTGTCCTCTCAGAAAGGGTCTGGGTATGAAATGAATCTGGTTTTCCCCACCAGCATGATAAAGGCTGGTGGGAGATACTTACATGAACTGAACCACCATCATCAGAAGAATTTCCCTTTCTTTCTGTACTGTTCTAGGGAGACAGAAACAGAAATTAGACAGGGGATAGAGCAGCCTAGCTTCCTGTCCTGCTCTTTCAGCAGTACTGCTTTTCTTAAACCCAATCTGACCTGTTTTCATCATTCCACACAAGAGCCCTTATCTTCCCTGTGGTCCCACCCATGTCCTTGGTTCCATAATTTTCTCTCTTTTCTTCCCTCAGTTCTGTTTAGCATTCTGACCTCACAACCTTGCAACTCTGCATCTCTGCTGCTCACCTGCCCCATAAACTTCTGGATCTCTGATTCAATTCCCTCTAGGGCTTCAGCAGTCATATGCATGAACCCTGCTCCCAGGAAAACACCAGCAGAGATGCAGCCCAGGAGGCTGAGGACCCGGTGGTGATGACCTAATAAAAAGGCAAAAGTTACAGTCCAGTTGGTAATGAGGAGATAAACAAAGATAACTAACGAGCAGCAGGCAGCACCCAGTATCCTGAGCTTGGGGATGGTGAAGGAATGAGAGCAGGAATCAGAACAGACTTGAGGCTAAAGGACAAAGATGGAGTAGGGTTATACCTGTAGTTGCATCCATCTGGAACCATTTGAAGCAGATGGGAATAAGGCCACAGCCCAGAGTGAGAACCAGCAAGGCAAACAGGCAGCCAATTTTTACCCCTAGAAGTGCCTCCATCTCTGGGGTGCAGGATACGCAGGGGCCTCAGAATGACAAGTGGAGAAGGAGTAGTTTCTTAGGTGGTCAAAGCTGGAGTATCCTGAGTTTCAGGACACTCGATATCCTCCTGTCCTGGGGTGCCTCTGCTTGCACGGCAAGCATAGCTGACTAGGGCCCTGCCTCAGCTGTGCACCCTCCCCCTACCTGGAGGCCCCTCCCCTGGCTCACGCCTTCTTGAGCCTCCAAACCAGAAACTCCAGACAACCTGCCAGGCACAGTTCAGTGCTGTCTTCTCCTTCTCTTCAATGCCATGACTAATCCAAGGACTCTGGAGAGTCTCAGTTCATGCCTGGGGTTAATCAAAACCCAAGTGGGACAATATGTAGCTATTTCTCAGCTATTTTGTGTTGGGGACAATCTGGTCCTGCCTCAGGACATTTGATCTAAGCCTTCTATACCCTCTCCACCCCATCCCGAATCTTACAGGTTGGTATGTTGATATCTGAACCGAAGCCTTTCAGAGGAGATTTGGGGCCACCTGGGGTAGAGGTGGGGCTGAGGTAGTGCTGCTGCCACTCTGTGAGAACTACTGGTGAGGGGACTCCCCTTTCCTGTAACTCCAGAAAAATAGCTCCAGGCATAGAAAAACTAGAGGGTAGTAGAGATTTCTAGCATTACAACATTAAACTGTCACAACTTCTGATAGTGCCTATTTCTGTAATCAAGTCCCTATAACCATTTTTTTCTAAGAGACTTCAACCATAACAAAATCACTTTCTCTAGTTAATGTATATATAAAAAGAAAAAGCTAAAAGCCAAAAAACAGGTGGAATACATTCTTTCCTCTGGTTAAGGTGACCTGTGTCCTTGTTGCCATTCCTATAGCTATCAATTTTTGTCCTTGTTTTTTTTTTTGTGCTACTGAGGCTTGAACTGAGGGCCTACACCTTGAGTCACTTCACCAGCCCTTTTTTTGTGGTGGGTTTTTTTCAAGATAGGGTCTCTCGAACTATTTGCCCAGTCTGGCTTTGAACTTCAATTCTCCCGATCTCTGCCTCCTGAGTAGCTAGGATTACAGGCGTGAGCCACCAGTGTCCAGCTGTCCTTGCTATTTTTGTTACAAGCTTGATTTGTAGAACTATAGATTGCTCAATGGTCCACCACATGTCCACTAGTGCCAAGAAGTCTGAAAACCTTGATTTTTTAAATCAAAACTTCCAGTTTCCCCTGCCCCGGATTCCCTTCTGTGCCTTTTTCCCTTATATAACTCATAATTATGCTTGTAGGGGTAAGGTGGATTTGAGGCCCATCCCCTTCCTTCCCAGTGGGAAACTTCTGGATTAAACTCTACTGCAAGCACTGGTGTTCAGTGCACTGGGCACACAAATCTGACTTTGGGGTTTGGTAACATTTCCTGATGGGAACTATGAAAGAGGGACTTGGAATTTTTGTCTTTTGTAGTATTGGGAAATGAACCTAGGGACTTGAGATTGGTAGACAAGTGCTCTACCACTTGAGCTACACCCTAGCCCAAGTCTTTGTTTTAAGGTAAAGAAATTGCTCTTGAGCTGGCAGAATGGCTCAAGTGGTAGAATGCCTGCCTAGCAAAGCAGGAAGATGAGTTCAACCCCAGTACTAACAACAACAAAAAAAAGGTTGCTCTAATCATGAAACAAGGCCTAGGGGAAAACAGAAATGAACCAAATAAAGTATCTGCCCAAATACTTAAGGATAGAAGTGCAGATTTGGTTCTGATGGGGATCAGTCTTACAGGAAATGTATGAGGAAAAACTCCAGGGTAGTCGAGGGACCCTGTGAAAAACAGAAGGGAGAGTTAGGATTGCCAGGTTTGGTGGCACAAATCTGTAATTCCAGCACTGTGGAGGTTAAGGCAGGAGAATCCTGACTTCAAGGCTAGCCTGAGATACACAGTAAGACAGTGTCTCAAAAATCAAACAAACAAAACAAAAAATAAGAAAAACAAAACACACATAAAAAGAAGGGAAAACAAACAAACAAAAAGGTTAGGTGTGGTGGTACAGGCTTGCAATCCCCACACTTGGGAGGCTAAGGTACTCAAGAGTTCCAGGCCACCATGAGCTAGACACTGTCTTGAAAACCATCCTCCTCCCCCCATCAAAAAAGTTAAGTAGCTGCTGGTTCCCCTAGTCAGGAGGCCCACATTAACAGCTGTGAGACCTGCTGAGCCAGTTCTGAGGACTGGGGGTGGCTTTCCCCACTATCCTAGATTATCTTCCCAGGAAGTGCTGGTCTCTGTAGAAGCAGCAGTGTTCTTACAGGAGAGAGTGAGCTTGAGATTTGTGTGGGGAGTTCAACAATGAAAATCTCAGGACAGGCCAGGACAACTGACCCCTGTACTTTTATAAAGAATTGTAAAACTCATTTGCATTCATTAAAAGTTTATTATTATTCAAACTTTAAACACAGATATGCAGGAGTACCAGAACTCCCTTCCTGGATACCAGGTAGCATTAGCCTTGGCAGGTGTGATGGAAGAAAATGTTTTGCTTGTCCACATTCTTGTCAACTCTCAGGAGGACCTTCAGTAGGGGCTGCAGGAGATGTAGATGGAGTTATCACAGGTAAAAGATCTCCCCAGGCGCTGACACGGGCACAGCGATACAAATCCCTGCCATGGAGGCGGGCTGTGATGACAGCATGCTGCATGTGCCCACCTGGACAGCAGAGGTGACAATGCACATGGCGGGGCCGTTTAAGGACAGGCTGAGTGATACGGGGCCAGCAATTAGCTTCTTCTGGAGACCCCCTGGCAAGAATCACCATAGAGAATTTTTCCTCCTTTGGCTTCTTGTTCTAAGAGAAAATATGAGACTAATTAGGGAGAAAAGATGGGAAAAAACCTTTTTGGCTTCCTTTCCCTCACATTCTTGTGTCCCTTTTTACATTCTACAGATCATAGACATGCATGCTCTAAAATCTCCAGGCCTTTCTAAGCATTCACCAACAGTTCCCACTTAGCTTTTTCTTCCTGCTTTCCCAGGTTATTTTCTCCCCACAGCAACATTCCCAGATACATACCCAGCTGAAGGGGATGGGATGATAAGCCTGAGAGAAGCTACAGGCCATGGGCGTAGAGGCTGTCAACTGAGGACACGGAAGTTCATGGGGACACTGTGAGCACACATAAAGACATGAAGACAAAAAAGCCATCAATCATAAAATTTAGGAATGACTGAATCAAAAGGGCATGGAGAGAAAAGAACAAGAGAGGGGGTAGAGAGAACTATGGGAATCACAAGGTAGAAAGTGGATAAGCACAAAAAGTAGGGGAGCATGGCTTAGCTTTATTCTCCCACTTTTCCTGGCCACACCTGAGTTCAGATCTAAGCAATGGGACAAGCAGAAGTAGTACTCACTGGGGCAAAGACAAAACTAGGCTGAAGGTCCCAAGGTGACTTTTCTTTTTCCTGAAATCAAAAAAAAAATAAAGCTGGGCCTGTGGGATTGATTTTCACAATTCAATCTCTACTCTTGGTAAACTGAGGGTTTCCTTAGCATTCAATCCTTATAATGATGAACTATGCCTCCTGAGTTAAGCTGGTTACTTCTCTAATGCTCTACACAAAGAATGTTCTCTTTGCAGAAGCAGAAAGGCAGGAACTTGGCACACAGTATGGTGTTCTCCCTTGTCAGCAATCTCTACGCTCAAAAAAAAAAAAAACCCTCACTCCAGGACAATTAAATTTATGATTATATACTGGCTCATATCCTCCCATACAGACAAGGTTTTTGGATCAGCAATGCCCTAGAACAGGGGTTGGCACACTTTTTGTTTAAAGGGCCAGAGAGTAGGCAAAATGTATCTCTGTCCCACTACTCACTTCTACTTTATGCAGTGTGAAAAAGCTGTCATAGACAACAGAGACGTCAATATGCATGGCTCACATGAAAACAGGCGCAAGCTGGATTCGATTCACAGGCCCTCATCTGCCAGTCACTTCCCTCTATCCTAATGACGCTGTGTGTCTGGTTTCCTGAAACTCACCATGACGAAGGCTTGACAGTCTTCAGTTTTCAAGGGAGTACAGTAACTGAGACAGAAAGGAGTAAGGGAAGGACAGGAGAACTTACCTTAAGGACCAGGTCCCTGGCATCCATAAGAAGGCTGTGTCCAGCTTTTGTTCCATTCTCCACTAATACCTGTTCACAAATGGGGAAAACAAGCAGAAGTCCTCAATCGTGTGAAATCATAAATGTCAGTAGCTCCAAGAGCATTTGCAGATGAAGGTCCTAAAAGGAACAGGCATTACATATAAAAAGGGGACAGAGATCCCAGAGGATATACAGAGATCTATAAAGGAGACAAATGTTCAAAAAGGAAGACAATGAGAGAAGGAATAGCATAAGGACTATGAAGCTGTTTTAAGACTTGAAGAGAAACTGTATTTTAACTCACCAGAAAATGGCTCGTCTTGCGCCACAAGGTTTCAACCACTTCAGTTCGGTCAGCCTTGCTGGGTAGTTCACTAAGGGCAAAGGCTGATACTACTACATCAAATTGTACCTGAGGACCGAGATAAGTAACACGATAGACCAACATCTCCCCATTCCAAGAGTACAAGCAGCTCCTAGTCCCTAAGTTTCTTCTAGTGCTTTTTTTTTTTTTTAATCTTCCAATATTCCAGGTTGGTCTGCAAAGGTGAGGCCACATTTTCCCATCTGCTAATCTTGCACTTAGGATGCCCTAAACAATGCTACTTGCCTTGGGTGATACAGGTAGAAACTGTCTGAAAAAGACACCTGGAACATGAGGCTCCTTTGATTCTGAACCACCTGTGGGAGAAAGAAGAGAGGTGGTAACTAAGAATGCAATGAAGTTTATGGCCGTGAGTAGAAACTGAAGAGACACCCACACAAGAAAATGGTCCCGAAGATAGGGAAACACACTAGGTAAGAATGAGATGCAATACTGTAAGTAAATATTAAAAACGGCAGGGAGAACATCAGCTCCTCTATCCTGGTGACATTATCTAACTCAGCCACAGTTTACCAATGGCCTCTAACACCTCTGTTTGACCATAGCACCGGAAGGGGACTGGATTCTTTTTAACTTTGAATCCTCTCTTCTACTTCCCAGTAACACACTCTTTCTAATACTCCTTTGCTTTCTTAACTCCCTCAATTTTGGAAGAAGCTTACCTAATAGCTTTTTCTTGCTGTTCTTACCTTTTAGTAGCTTTTCTGCCAAACTCAACATGGCAGCAGAGCAGTCCACACACACATATTCACGTAGACTCTTGCCCCACATACTGTGAGCAGCCCTGAAATGGCAAATAAAAACCACTAATTCTCACGACAAAGAGTCATCCCAACAAAAGACCATCTATTCCCAACTCCACCCCTGGGAAAACAGGATGCTGTGTCAAAATAGAGAGATTAGCAACATTAATTTTGTATTTATTTACAACTCCTGATAAAAAGGTACTCAAAAATCTACCTGTATGGCAAAAAAGTTTTTCTGATTAGTATGTAAAAGCTATTCTCTACACCAGATTCCTTTCCTTTTTAATCTTTCTAAACATGTTTTTTTTTTTTCACTTGACATTCAAGTTCTGGACCCAATCCAAATACCTTTTTCTACTTTGCCTAATCTGAGGGAAGCAATATTGTAGTCCAATTTTCCTATTCTGCCTCTGGTAGATACTGTCTACAAGTCTGTTGATACCAACATGATTAGTAAGTAAGGCTCTCTAGAGCTGGAATTGACAAGAATAGGACTGAAGAAAGTTACTCACCAGGTAACAGAACCAGTACCGCAGCCAAAGTCCATCAAGGTTTGTGGCTGGAACTCTGGAATTCGAGCCTGGATCTGAAGAAATATACAATACTCCACAGAAGGTCATGTAGAGGCTTACTTAAAACCTTAGTAAATATGAATCGGGGGGACTATGATAATCAAGAAGAGATATGAATGTATTTTGAGATTCAATATAAATGCTTTATAGGATAGGAAGCTTCTAAACAGTGATTTTAAATCTTCCTTGGGTCACAGAATCCTTTCAGAGGATAAAGAGAACTTCTTTAAAAATGTGTATGCAACATCCCAAGAATTCCTACTCCAGAAGAATAGGGGAACTGATAAAAGGTTCAGTAAGGAAGTTGAGCAACGTTCACCTCATGGAAAGCCCTGGAGACTGCTGCAAAGCCACCATCCAGTCTTGCTGCCATATATACAAGGCTTAGTTCTTCATTGTAGCTGCCATGAAAATCAAAGAGTCACATGGAGTGGCAAATAATCTCAATCCCATAGTTACCTTCTCAACTTTTAGGAAATGAAATGGGTTGTGTAGTTGTACTTCCAACTCTCTGCAATTCAATGCTTCTTCCTTTTGCACCATCTAGCTTTCCTCACCTCAGTTTTTGCCAATGGTAGGTAGTTCTGCGCAGGGCATGCAGTACTTTTTCACAAAGTTTCTCCTCTGTCTGAGGTGAGTCTGGGGTGAGAACAAGGACTGGAAGTGAGGACCTAGGGAGAATAGGGATTAAATCCAATAGTTGAATATACTGCCCACCCAATCCTCCTTCATTCCCACCTGAGAAAAACCTCAAAGCTTGAGAGAAGCCAAACCTAGAGAAAAACTTCAGGTAAGAACAACTATCACTGCTAGAGTATATGAGGCAGTATCTTCCTCTAACAGCAGTTTATTAAACTTAGCCAACCCTCTCCTGCAAGTTTTGTTTTATATTAAAGAGAAGTGTAATAAAAATTTAAAGGATAGGAAAAGGACCATATTTTGAGGATGTCCTCACTTCCCCAAAACGTAAGATTGTGACGTCCCCAATGTTCCCCTGGGGAGGAAAGGGGAAAAGGAAATAAGTTTCATGACTGTGCTCAGATCCACACTATTTACCAACAATCTACTGAAAGCCTAGTCTGGGCCAGGTACGATGGGTAGTGTAGGGAATACGAGATGATAATGAGCATGTCTGCAAGATGAAGGAGCTCACAATTCTGAAAAGAACGTGACAAATTATATTCATTTTCCTATCTCTGACAGGGAGCCATACGGGGACTTTATTTCACCTGAATAAAAACATAGGTCCTAATTTAGTGGACTTGCAGGAAAAAAATTTAAAAAGCAAAACAAACGAACAAACAAAACAAAAGCCAAAGATCTAGATTTCTAATGTTTATCCAGACCCCAAGAGTAATCTCTGGACCAATCTTTTACTAAGGCATCATTATAACAATTGCCGTCACTAAGAACCTCAAATAAGAAACTGCAGCCTCTACTCAGGACACTGTGCAATTATATTATTCCTTGCTCTTTATTTCCTCCTGACATTTCAATCTGATGTACTCTGTAATTATTCTTCAGTCCTACCTGAATTTTCCAGGAATTTTTTCTCAAGATCCATAGCCCGTCTCTGTAACTCCTCTGGTTCTACAGGCAAATGTCGGCTCCAGAGATAATTGGTCAGGGCTTGCACCTGCTTTTCTATGTTGGGCATTGTCCTCTCTGGGGGCCAAAGATGAAAACCGTTATCACCGCGTGCTGGCCTCGCCTTGCTCCTCTTCCGCTTCGCTTCCCGCCGCTACTCACCAAGCAGCAGCAACTGCGCGGCGCTGGCCAGGGCCCGCGGCAGCCGCACGTGCGGCAGCTGCAGGATGCCGGGGTGCCGACGATGGGGCATCTTCCCCAGAAAGCCGGACCTGTTATCCACCTGGGTCACGCCGGGCACAAGGGTGGCGAGCGCCTGCACAAAGGGATAGAAATGATGATGGCAAGGCAGAAAGGAAGGCTGCAGCGTCTGCTAAGGGAGGGGTCTGCCTGGAGCGCTCGTCCTCGGAGCGGAACCTTCTTGGAACCCAGTCTCGCCGACAGCCGAGGGAGAACGCTCTTACCCGGGGCTGGAGAGCTACTCCCCCGCTGCGGCACGTTCGGCCCACTGTCAGTAAGAACCTCAGTTTCCTGGCGGTCGCCATAGCGTCGGACACAAACCGGAAACGGAAGTGTAGGTACCTGCGCCTCTCAGCCCAACGTCACGGTGCGCATCCATCGCGCAACTTCCTGGGACGGCATCAGCCAATGAGAAGAGCGAGTATTTGCTAGCAGCCAATAAGTCTCATTCAGGCGGAAATTGTACGTGGGTGGGACTTAGGACCCTTTCCGATGTAATCAGGAGGAAGGGAAGTGGCCTCCAGGCTGTGCTGGGACTAGTCACAGGGACCGGAAGTTAAGGGGGCGGGGCTTGGGATAGGGACAGCATGGACTGGGAAGACTTTCTGCATGTGCGACTGTGTTTCTTGTTCTCTTCCCTGGAGATTTCTGAGGCTTGGGATGTTTCCCTGTGTGAAAAGGGAATACAGCAACAAAACGATGATGTGACCAAAAGCAGATTTAGGCGACCAAATATAACAAAAGTTAATAATTACTAAATACTCAATATTTTAAGAAGTTTTAAGCTTAGTTAACAGGCCTTATTTTTCTTACATTTGTTAGTTTCTCTTCTCTTACTAAATCGATCCTCTTAGTAACATGTATTTACCACATACTGTACCAAAACCTTTTACAGAATACTGCTTCATTGGGTTCCCATAATCCTATGAAGCCGGTTCTGTTGTTGACCCCATTTTTCAGTTAGGAGAGTGAGGCTTCTGGGGATCCATGGTGCTCAGGATCAAAACATTGTTAGGTAACAGCTGAATTTAAGCTTGGGTAGTATTTAGTCTGAGTTCCATCTTTAAGTAATATGCTGTACTGCATAGTTCTTAGTGTAAGTTCACTAAGAACTTTATGCTAAATGTTCAGAAGTGTGAACTCACTATGCTGTATTCCTGTAGCAACACTTTAATCAACTATGGTTGTGTCCATAGTTGATTAAACTATGGTTAACCTCTTGGAATGAAAAGATAATGACAGAATAGGTTGTTGCTATAACTTTGAGAGTCAAAATGTAATAATTATGGGAAACTATAGCAATTGGAAAGTCAAATGTCTGGTTTGTATTGGGATCATTAAGATTGGATTCTAATAAAGGTTTTCCTTTACAATCTCTGGAACTACTACTCATTGCTCTCCTTTCCAGGTTTACCTTTTTTTTTTTTTGTCAGTGCTGGGATTTGAACTCAGGGCCTTTAAGCTCGTGAAGAAAGTGCTCTGTCACTCTGCCAGCCCTGTTTTGTGTTGGGTATTTTCAAGATAGCATCTCTTGAACTATTTGCCCCGGTTGACTTTGAACTGTGATCCTTCTGATCTCTGCCTTCTTAGTAATTAGAATTACAGGGGTGAGCCAACAGCACTCGGCAGGTTTACCTTCTTTTTGATTCACACTACCACGTGTAAGTTTTATCTTTTGTGATAATTTGCTTTTTACTTTAAATTACTGGCTTGTTTTGACACAATAAAATATCCCTGGACTGGGGGGCATGGCTCAAGTGGTAGAGTGCCTGTCTAGCAAGAACCAAGCCCTGAGTTCAAACCCCAGTACCACCAACAAAGAAACATCCCTGCCACTTACAGATCAGCTGTAATACAAGATGATGATGATTTTTGTAGGGATGTAGCAGAACACAGGGGTAAGGTATTTGACCTCTGCAGCCTGGCATTCTGAGGCTGCATTCTAGAGTAGTGAGATAATAGTTGCTGCCTCAAGGGTTGTTGGAATGAAGATTAAATGAGATAATGTCTGGCACAAAGTAAATGCTCAATGAGTTTATACTACTATTGTTTTCATATGTGTTTGGGAATTTAAAGGGACATAATCATATCTTAATTTTTATTCTGAATTCATGTCATTTCCAAAACAGACACGAGACTGGCCATAGTTTGGGGCAGGGTAAAACTGAGCACTAGAGAGTGAAACTAAGGAACAGGAGACCTGTCCTTAGTTTCACTCCTGAGTGAATGTCCCTCCTGTTTTTCCTGTCAAACTGCAATAGAGATGTCGCTTCCTTTATTCTGATAATGGCCTAACTGGAATTGTTCCTTTCCTATGGTTATTTAACATCTCAAAGCTGACTTAGATCTAAATTTATGTTTCCTTGTTATTTTTTTTACATTAATTTTACAAAGGGATTTCATTGTGATAGTTCCAATGTGCATATAATGTTCTTTGATCAAATTTTCTTCACTAAAGCAAACTCAAAAATCCCACATCCACCCTCTTCATAGATCAGGGATGTCCTTGAGGTATCTAAAACAGTACATTGAACATGCTTAATTAGTTCTTGTTAACAGTGTTGGTAAGTGACCACTTTTTGTTTCCATGTTTAGAAAAGCTCAGTGGGGTTGGAGGGTGCAGCTCATGCTTGTAATCTGCTAGCTCCAGGCAAACAGTTCTCAAGCCAGATCTTGAAAAACCCATCACACACACACAAAACAAGCTGGTGAAATGGCTCAAGCAGTAAGAGCAACTGCCTTAAAAAAAAAAAAAAGAAAGGAAAAGAATAGCTCAGAGGGCTGCTTATGGTGTGTGCAATTGTAATCCCAGCACTTGGGAGGCTGAGGCAGGAGGATAAAAAGTTTAAGGCTAGCTTGGGCAAAATAGCAAGAACCTGTCTAAAAAGAAAGAAGAAAGGGCTGGGGATGAGAGAGAGAGAGAGAGAGAGAGAGAGAGAGAGAGAGAGAGAGAGAGAGAGAGAAGAGAGAGAGAGAGAGAGGAGAGAGAGAAAGGAGAGAGAGAGAGGGGGGAGAGAGAGAGGAGAGAGAGAAGAGAGAGGAGAGAGGAGAGGAGAGAGGAGAGAGAGAGAGAGAGAGAGAGAGAGAGAGAGAGAGAGAGAGAGAGAAAGAAAGAAAAGGAAAGGAAAGCTCAGCAGGCTAGAGTAGTTGAGGATATGGGTCTAGTCAATATGACCAGGTCACAATTCCCTGAAAGTAGAGATCAGTCCATTTCGTACTAATGCATGCATTCTGCTGTTAACACTGGTTACCTTGACCTGGGTTGTATTTACAGTTAGGGCTCTACATGAAAAAAAGATATAAATGTGGAGAAACTAGACAATATTAAATACCCACCAATCCCTAAAGTAAGTAAAAGAAAAAAACAAAAAGATTGTGAGGAAGGCTTGGATGGTTTGATTAGAGATAGATAATGACTAATGAGTTTTTTCTATTGAGTTTATTAAAAAGAAAAATATCTAATAATTTGGTTATAGAGAAACGCTCAATAATGGAGGTGTGAAGCAGCCAGAAGAAGTTTCTTAGGAAACAAAAAGAGATTCTGCCTCCAAAGATCCCAAGTACGATTGGCCCGTGATGATCAGAGACAACCTTGTCAGGAGGCAGAAATTGATGTTAGTGTCTGGAGAGTTCTTTCAGCCCTAGAATCTGAAGACTATTTTATGATCTCCAACACCCTTAAGTGATCCCACAGTTCTATCCAAATTTAATTTTGGTCAAGGTAATACAAGTGCCCATTGTCCTATTCTGATAAATGCCAATTCTGCCTCTTTTTCTAGTATTGTTCTAAGCCTAGAAATTTCTTCCTGGAGTCATGGATACCCCCAAAATATTGAAGTCAACTATGATTTCGCTTTTTCTATTATAACTCACATCTGAGCCGCTGACAAATTTTATTGGTTCTAAAGATAGGTCCAACAAGCTGGGCAGGGTAGTGCATACCTGCAATCCTAGCATTTGGGAGGCAGAGGCAGGAGGATGTAGAGCTCCAGCCCAACCTGGGCTACATAGAAAGACCCTGTTTCAAAAAGACAAAAACAAACAAACAAATACCAACAAAATCTATCCATAACCTGCAGTGTTATTGCTCTGATTCAAGCCACCACAATCTCTCACAGTGATTATTAAATTAGCCTTTTACCTAGTCTTTACTTCTGCTTTTACCCCTGACAGCAAGCTCTCCACAGACAGCTGAGTGATCCTTTTAACGTACATGAAATCATGTCACTACTTTCCCTAAAGCTTTTCACTAGACTTTCATATCACTCTGGGTTAAATTTAGAATCTTTAGAGTGATCCCCAAGTCTCTTTGACCTTTCCTACTATTCTTTTTCTCTGAGTCCTCACAGCACCAAGGTCAAGTTCCTTGGGGACAAACTTTGCAAGCTTTCTGAACTTTAGGCCTATACTTGCTGCCCAAATCCTTCTCACTCTTAGAAGCAGTCTCAGCAGTCTCTCTCTCTCTCTCTCTCTCTCTCTCTCTCTCTCTCTCTCTCTCTCTTTCTCCTCCCCCCCATCCCTCTCTCTTTTTATTTTAGTGGGACTGGAGTTTGAACTCAAGGCATCACACTTGCAAAGCAGGGGCTCTATTGCTTGGACCTCACCTCCAGTCCATTTGCTCTGGTTATTTGGAGATGGGGTCTCGTAAACTATTTGCCTGGGCTGGTCTTGAACCACACTCCTTCCTCTCTAGCTTCCCAAGTAGCTAGGATTACAGGTGTGAGCCACCTAAGTCCTTAAAAGGGGGAGAAAGTTTTCAGGGCAGAATTTAGCAATGGTTAGACATGAAGAGAATATTTTAGGAATGTTCTCTGAGAATAGTACAGATAAACTTGAGTTGGTTTTGTATTGATGTAAGGAGTGCAGCTTCCACTTCAGCCATGAAGGCTGAGTCCAGAGTTTAGATTGAAAGAACTCTGCTTCTTCAGAGATCAAGGGATAAATAGTTCTGGCTCCAAACTGGGACTGGCAGTACACATGAACTTTGAAATGGAACTTGAGATGACTTCAAAGTCTGAATCGGGTGAGTTTGTGCCAAGCTGAATTGTATGGCAAGAGACAGTATCTGTAAAATTTCCCTAATTATATCTAGTATGTACTATGAAAAGTCATTGTTACCATGGTAAAATAATATGAGCTCTTTAAATAACTGTTCTTCAAGGGAGGACCATACCAGGAAGGTATAAGGATAGAAGAGGATTTAAAGCTACTAGTTTTGGAGAAAAAGACTGTCCTTCAATATTGCAGAAGCAATTTAACCAATAGCAGCAAAGCTGGCTCAGGAGCCCTGGAGCTATGCTTTGCCAATACTGCTTGTTTCCTACTGCTGCTTTCCATCTTCATTTAGAAGATTAAGGGCTGAAATTTTAGAAAACAGACTTCGCAAATTTCAAAGGACAGGA